GTATTATATATCAGCAATGGAAATGTTCTCTTTTTGTGTATATGTAAGATATGTAATGTGCTTGTGTGTGTATATAGATGAAATGTACTTTTTTTTTTAATCATTCATATAGCCAAGTTTCCGATTTGAGAAAATTTGTCATCATAATAATATTTTTTCAATTTTCGAGAGTAAATGACGACAGAATTTTACAATTAAAATTACAAATAGGCCTACTAATAAAGTTTAATTCATTGTATTCTCAGGTTAAGTTCACACTTAAAGCAATTGAGACACAAGAAATGCTACGCTTGCTCTAGCACCACGGGCGATGTCCACTTTACATTTGAAATAGTAAAAGAAATAAGCAGAATTAGGACTTTTGATGGAACTCTCCTTTTTTTTGTAAGCGGTGGATAGACAGCCATTGCGTGCTTTCGTCAGTGTGTTTGAACCGTAGTTATGAACCAACAAGCTTTCCCATACACGTGTATGTCTCTAAAGCCACGCGCGCTGTTTGTCATCGCGAATAACAAACTTGGAGTTCAGGATGTTTACTTTTCAAAGGTATAAATAATTTTGGGCTAATTGTCACTTTAAATCGACATATCGCACGTCTTATACATAATTGGTTTCACGTTCTTCTCAATTTAGATCCAAACACTCAATTACACTACGATCCCTCGTGTTGATTTAAAAAACCAAAGCAAAAATAAACAACTATGAGAAAAAAGACATTATAGTAGGTTTAGTATAAGAGGTCATTCAACCTGAAGTGCTGCATCAACACGACACACAATATTTATTGAGCCAAAATTGATGCCATTGTAAACTAGATTGATTTATACGCCTTAATATGAATGGTCTTTATTCCCAATTCGAAAACGATTTGTTTGTTTTCTCATAGGCTGGTATTTACCATTTTACACCGCAAAACCGCTACACGGTCAAGGTACTGTACCTTCCAATCAATTTCTAATATTTAGGCTAATGATGATTAATGACATTAATATAATATGCACTCTATGTTGACTTAATTAGTAATAAATGATATTAAAAACATAGCACACATATTGAATCCACAAACTTACTCTCACGCATAATAGGCCTACTATTGCCATCACTGTTTTTACAACTTACAAATCATACAAATGACGATGATGACCGTATTATGACGATCATGGTGGTGATGATGTTGATGATGATGATGATAATGAATATGATGATGATTGATGATGGTGGGGGTGATGATGATGATGATAAATGCAGATGATGATGATCGTGATGATGATAATGAAGATGATGGTGGTGGTGTTGGTAATGATGAAGATTATGATGGTAATGATGATAATATACTAGGTTTTTCATATCGCCTTCTACAATCGAAAGACAAATAGTGTCGAAATGCTGGTCACTGAATCTATATATTGTACTGTAATTGTATTGACAAATGCACGTGCTCCGATTTTCTATCGTCAATTTAGGCCTATTATTTAACCTGAAATAAAGGCCTGTATTAATTGATAATATCGTACAGACAAAAGAAACCCGTAAAATATATTTCAAAATAACAGAATATGTGGTGTGTGGAGTGGCAGCTTGTCGGCATGTACGCATCATCTAGAGTTCAGTGGGTTTAAGTTCTTCAATTCAATGGCAGCATTTTTTGCAGGCCTACAATACTGAAACAACTCCAGTCCGTTCACGAGCCGTGTACTTAAAAATCATTCTATTAATTAATAATTGCAGTGACTCTAGGCGAGCTAAGCATACTTCACATACAATGGATTTTGATTTGTGATTTGAAATGGCAGTTATATCATCAAATAAGCCTTTAAGTCATATAAGATGCTGATTTCATGGAAACTGAGGTGGATGAGAGCGTGTAGATTAATCCATCGCGAATCAATAATTCAAGTATGAAATACGCAAATCATGTTAGGTACATTCAGTGAAGGTTGCTTTAAATACGCAACCGCATACGGCTTGACACCAGCGCAAGATGCGGCTATTCTACTGTTATTGTGCCGTTCTCCCTCTTGTGAAATGATCAAGCTCCTTTTTGCACATGCTTAAGATACTGGTGCAGTTGCACCATGGAGGAAAAAGTTTATGGTTGTACACTGCTGGCTTTTCCGTAATGTATCTGGTTTAGCGTGAAATTGATTCACATTCTTCCTCCATGTTCACACTGCTGACACAGTTAAGACAGAAATGCGAGACAATTACATTCAATCGAAACATTGTTGATTTTTATTCTCATAAAATTAAACCTAATTTATTAATAGCAAAAATTAAACGTAGGTATAAATATTTTATAGTCCCAACAAGACTAACAATATTAACATCTGCAGAAAAACGATTAGCAAGTGAAAAATTAATAATTATATTAATTTCAAAAACATGATTACAGGGGTCCCAAGTTGGAAGAAGTCATTTCCGGGAGATCTACGGCGGCGGGGTGAAGGGGGCGTGGGGGTTAGAGCACCTCAGCCCCACCAGGGTTGGTGCTGAGGCAGGAAAATTTATAACTATGGCACCTGCTCCAGATGGCCGGAAATAGCCTTGCCAGACTTAAATTTGAATATAATTTTCCTTTCTACTCCATTTTTAAATATTTAGGGGGCCTGGGCCGGCTCTGCCCATGCCCTTAAATCCACCACTGATCTAGTTAACAAGCTTTCTTAGCATCTTAACACATTTAATTTTATTTTGCTGCACAAAGTGATACCCATCGGCACTGACTTTTGTGAGAAAATCGATAACAAAGCAGTAAAAACATGCAAAATTGTGAATTCCCAGAGATGGGTTAATTTCCAGATTCCTGGTTGCTTGCTCCCGCGAGTTTTCAGGAGACTTGGGACCTGTGTGGTGCAAAACATTTTCAGTTGTAAAGATATATCAATATAAACCAACTATAAGATATCTTTTTAGTATTCCTGCTACCAAATCTACAACTCAGCAGTTATGCCCTTATTCATTGTTATCAACTGCATAATTTAGGGCTATTGAACCAATTACAAACTTCCTGATTGAACTCATTTTTATAGTTATTGACTAAGGAAAATTTACACAGTTTTATGATACAGCAATTGGATTTGGCAACATGCCAAGAGGTCACTTCTGGTTGTATATTGTGTAATTGTTGATATTTCCATCGGTAGGCCAAAATCGGTGGTAAATATGCTACTGCAGGCACCCCACAGAGCAGTGTGTGGACATGCTCTCACAACTACTTTAACCATTCTATGTGCTGCCCAAGCTTTCCATTTTGGCAAACACATCATTTTGTTTCATAAATATCCACCTTTTCAAATAACTGGGTTTTAGTGAATCCTTTGTTTATCCACCTTTTCCTTCAGTAGGCCATTAACATTTGAATGATATTTGACCTCCCACTTACCAGAATACACAAGGTTATATACAAAAATATGATTACTGTCCCACCCTTTAACAACAAGGTTCTGTCACTCCAAGATAGTGGCCCTGTTTCTCTCAAGATTATAAGAAAACTCCTCCATTGTGGCCACTCCACAATTCCATGATTGTAACATGTTCATCCAAGGGTGTGGCCTCATCTCCAGACGTGTGACCACACCTCCAACAAATACATATTTGAGATCATGGTCCCCAATGTCTTAAAATTGTGGCGCACTCCTTCAAAATATTTGTAGATCTATATAGCCTCCCTTGCATTCTAGAACGCTGTCAAGCACTTGTTGTTACTGCTAATGACTGCTTGAATAGAGATGTTTTTTGGTGGCTTTTAAAAGCAACTAAAGATGTTATATTGCCAATGAAAAATGGTAGTCCATTCCAAAGCATTGGAGCAGCAATATAAAAATCATTTGTAAAATCATTGCTGTTTTAACCTCCATTGTACTTAATCTGATTTCACATTGAGGTGCGATTTCCGTAAATTCTGCACACACCCGTCTACTTAAAATATCTGACATGCAGAAAATATTTCAGTGAAAGCTTGATCAAAAGTGGTATCCTCAATTATCTTTCTTGTTAGACTCATCAACTTCTGCATCTACCTGATTGTCAACCTCTTCATCTGACTGTAGTTGTGATTGCCACATGCTTGCGTAAATTCCCCCGAGTTGAAGCAACTCCTCATGCCTATGGGATAAGAGTATCAAGTATTTATAAGACAATTGTTTATTAATTACAACTAATGAAGGTAGGTAGAGGGTAACAATGCTTGAAAGCAAATTCTAGTATTTATAAGAGTGAATGAATGCGAACTGAAGTGTATGAAAGAAAGGCACGAATAAAAATGAAGAAAAACATAAGAACGAATGGGAGGCGGAACATTCAAGTTGAAGGAATTGAACCATACAGAGGACATGCAGTGGCGTATATCTACGAGTGTATGGGGGCGTTGATGGAGGGCGTGAAGGTGAAGTGGGGGATCGATAATTTGGTGAGGGGTATTAGCTGGCAAAAAAAGGTGATTTGAGGGGGGGGGCGCTATGTACGGCACTGAAGAAATGCATGAATGAAGATGAACAAATGAATAATTTTCTGATCCCTAACACTCTGTGTTAAAATTGCAACAGTAAAAGTATAATCATTATCTGCCTGTTCGAAGCAATCTAAGCCATCTCCATTAAGATGACACACTCTAAATACACTGCTGAATTACATGTACTATAGCACTGCAGTAAATGTGAAAATCACAGCCTTGGGGCTTCCTGTATTCATGATTAATAACATACAAACAAAAGATCAAAGGGTTCAAGCACATGATCAAGATCTTGTTAAGACAGGTTAACTACAATCTACTGCTAACATTTTACACCTAAAGGCAAAAGCTATTACCCACAATGCATGCATCATCAATCAAACCTAGATATCTATTCATAATTTTTCTTTACAAACTGAAAACACTGTTTAATAATCTTCACTACTTACCGCCCTCGCTCGATGATAGCACCCTCCTGAAGGACCAGGATGGTGTTTGCATTGATGATTGTTGATAAACGATGTGCAACAACAATTGTTGTTCTGTTGTTGCAAACATTATTTAATGAGGCCTGGATGTTTCTCTCGGTTCTAGTGTCAAGTGCTGATGTTGCCTAATAAAATAAAGTGATGCATTTTGAGGACATCTTTTATTATTACTGTATTAACTTAAATAATAATAATAATAATAATAATAATAATAATAATAATAATAATAATAATAGCAATAATAATAATAATAATAATATGATTTATATACTGCACACATCCACTTTAGACAATGCTCAACAGGGATAAATGAAGGGACAAAGAAATATGTTAACTGGTACCTGAAAACAACAATTCTTAAAAATTGGTGTTATCTAATACTTTTGTTTGTCAGTGGAGAAATACACAGAGGTAAGTTTGCTTTTTTGTATATCCTATCAGTGTCACTGGCATGGGTATGTTTTTGTGTACTTTTATATTCTATTATTTATTTATTATGTATTATTACTTTATATTTGCCTGTTTCGCTCGTATTAAGCTACGTTCACATCAAGCCCGGACAAAAAATTGTGAGTTGCTACGTTTTTTGAATGCTGCATTCACATCGCGCATGGAACACGGTTGTTCAGGTTAAGTATGTATGCGTTCGATTGGTTCGAACAAACCAAGCTTGTTGCTGATTCGTCCAAGACATACGAAAAGATACGATTTCAGGATACAAATGGCTCTCAGATCCATTGGTCCGGTCCGGACTCCGAATTGGAAATTGTATGAATTTGATGTGAATGGTCCTATTCTTTACCACTGAACCCATTTTTCATGATTTTTTCTCCGGACTCCAGACCGGAATCCGGACATGATGTGAACGTAGCTTAAAATTGACAAAATTAATGATATAAAATAAACTGACCCATGATACCAGATATCAGTGGTAGCAGTGGTGATGTCAAGATTAGTTATGCTGTTGGCTAAGCTGTCTGAAGGTGGGGTTTAGGAGCGAATTCCTTGTAGGGCACAGTGGGCTAAGCCCCTGGCACCTAGAAAATCTGGACAATTATGTGCCATTTTAAGCTGAAAAAAATCACTCCATGCCAACTATCTCGGCCAGATAAGTTGTGCTCCAAAATGGTATACGTACTTAGTTCTTCATGGTAAATTAGTGTTTCAATAAACTACCACATAATTTGTTAATAGTGCTACATACCTCATCCAGAAGAACTATCTCGGGTGCCTTGAGCACAGTCCTAGCGATTGCTACACGCTGCTTTTCCCCACCACTCAGTTTTAAACCACGCTCTCCAACAACTGTTGCATAACCTAGAGATCATAAAGCAAAAAAATATATATATAATTTAGTGTCAACATGTATTCATCATTATATCTAAGCCAAGCATATACTACTACTATACATTTTATTAGATAGTGATAAAATATATTAAATATATTTTACCCAAAATTAATGGTCCAACCAGCAAAGCTAGTCACTGGGAAGCTCTGGTACTCTATATAAGTGTCTTCATGGGGCTTAAGAAGTGAGATAGATTTTGGTTTTTTATAAAACAAATCATGACTTTTATTCAGGATTATAAAATTGGAAGACAAGGACCATAAACAATAACTACCAGCTCCATGATTGTTTGCCTTTTTTCAAAAAGAAAAATGCCTCCACACAAAGGTCTTACTATAAATTATATCAACATACTTAACATCATTATTGGACTTTGTTATCTTCGTATTGTCTATCAAGGTGGGGGAAAAAGCTTGTATCTGAGCCTGGCCTACTTCCAGTGGCGTATCTAGGAGTGTGGGTGGGGGAGAGGGTGAGGGGGGGGGGGGGGGGGGGGGGGGGGGCGGAGGTGAAGTGAGAGGGATTGATGATAAAGTGAGGGGGATCTAGCTTGCAAAATAAGGTAATAAGAAATGATATTTTTACTGCAACATAGGGGGCAGGGGATGGGGGCGTGCCACTTACTGAACAGTGTATTTTGATTAGTAAAATCATAGTAATCCATCCAACGATATGAAGTTCATTAATTAAATTTTAAAAAGTGGTTATATCAAACAATAAAATATTTTTGGCTACTCTTTTAAAACAAACAATTAAAATATCCTAGATTTTCGATATTTACGGCTGGTTGGGAAACATTTTCATCCTTATCATTGTAACTATTAATGGTCTTAAATAATGGTCAATCAGTAATTTGAATGATAACTATAACAAAAATATAAATGTGACCTTCTGGAAAATGTTCTATCTTGTGATGGATATCAGCAGCAGCTGCTGCATCTTCAACTTCCTGGTCGCTGCTCTGTACACGTCCATATCGGATATTGTAACTTAGATCAAAGAAAAATATATGAATTTGATAGAAAATGCAAATATTTGAATAATAAATCAAATGTCGTAATTTTATACGAGCCAGTATTTCTGTGACATCTGATTGGAATATCAACATCAAAAGTTCAATATAGAATGTTTGCTATTGATAAAGAAAATTGGCAGGATCCAGTAATGAGTAGCAATTAGTACTTTGATAATAAGGAGATGATGAGATGATAATCACATCTGGCAGACAGATAATTTGAACAGCGCAAACATTTACAGACAAATAAATTACAATATGATGTCTAGTAGTATCAATATCTATAATATAATGGATAAAAATATTTACATTGACTATACACATATCAAAGCCGACTAAACATACAGTATGGGCCTATGCTACCATGGCTAAAAGGCAAGGGGCATAAACAATTCATTTTGGAATTGGCTCTATTTAGTATTAGCAGAATTTTGTGGATGTCAAAATTAAGATTTGCAATGCTATTAATCAGCTTTGGAGAGTGTTAATTCTGCAAAAGCTTTAACACAATTTCATATTTTTTCCTTTATAACTGTTTGGCCGCAATGTTTCTATGCAATGAATTTTCTGCTCTGTATTTGTCTTTTGAATAATAGAACTACATTTTGGACTTCAGTTCTTTTAAAGCTACACTAAAGAGTACAAGTTATATTAAAGTTACCCTGGAGCATGCCATTCATTTTTTAATGCAAACCTGGAGTGTGCTAGATTACTGAAGCTAGTATAGAGTGAATTGTGTTAGGGCTACCCTCGTAAGGTCTATTCGGATTAAAGCTATCCTGGATAGCGCAAATCCTATTAAACCTACCCTGGAGAATTCTGATCCCATTAAACCTATGCTTGAGAGAGTTAATTCTATTAACACTACCCTGGATCACGTTTATGTCAAAACTACAGTCAACTTAAATAATACATTATACATTATTGAATTTCATTGGATTACGTATGAATGTATATGAATTTGATTGGTTGATTAAAAACCTCATACAGTATATATATTCACCGGATATCATCATTAAACAGCACATGTTTACGTCGCATCTACAACCAACTTAAATAATACATTATGGAATTTCATTGGATTACTCTGTGACACCTAAACAACTATGTGATACATAAACATATAGATTATATTTGAATTTGATTGGTTGATTAAAAACCTTGTAAAGTAAATATATTAATCGGATATCATCATTATATACATAACATGTTTACATAGCATCTACAGTCAACTTAAAAAAATACATTATGGAATTTCATTGGATTATGTATGAATATAGATTCTATGTGAAATTGATTGGCTGATTAAAAACCTCATACAGTAAATATATTCACCAGATATCATTATTAAACATAACATGTTTACATGTCATGCACAGTCAACTTAAATAATACATTATGGAATATATTTGGATTATGTACAAATATAGATTATTTGAATTTGATTGGTTGATTAACAAATTTTGTAAATATATTTACCGGATATCATTATTAAACAGCACAGTATCCTGTGGAACCACTCCTATCACTTTGCGTAGAGAACTTTGTGATAGCTACACAAATTGAAAAAAGGATAATTAATGATGATTATTAAATTTGTACACGACTTCAGTTAGAAAAAACAGAGTGAGAAACCCCTTTAATAGGTCTATTATAGCACCAGAGTGTGTGATCTTTGTTACTGCATCAGGAGAATATATTGTGAACAAATAACTTTATGTTATATTAAATAATCACTTCTGGAGAGGGCTTCTTTTGTATATATTTAAAAGACTTGATTGAATTAAACAAATAAGAATATACCTTATCGCATGAATTTTTAAGACCATTAGATCAAATGGTGTATTTTAAAGAAAATAACATCAATATAAAGTATATTTACTTACTGTTGTAATATTCTGGCCATCTATCAAAATTTGTCCTCCTTGCAAATCATAGAAACGGAAAAGCAGGCGAATGATTGTGCTTTTACCAGCTCCAGATGGACCCACCTGTACATTCCAGAAAAGGTATGTAATTAAAAAATCTGAATAAATATCTCAACAATTATTAACTTAAGTGAATATCCAAAGCTGCTGGAAAAAGATAAATCATACTAAAACTAACATTATACTTATAGAATTGTCAGTAAAAAAAATGTATGTAAAAAGTCCACAATGTAATGTGTTATCACCGTTTGTTGTCTTTTTAATTATTTGTAACAAAATAATACAAGGAAATAAACAAGAGATTACACTTACCAATGCCACCGTTTCCCCTGGATTCACAGAAAATGAAATGTTTTTTAAAATACTTCGTCTAGAAAAAATATTATTGAAAATAACAAACAATCAAACACTGTACTTAAGACAAGAATGTGAACATATATTAAAAGGAAGACAAATGATGGGATACAATATTAATAGTATGCAACTACATAAAAAACATTTTATTATTTTGATTTTCTCATTTTGCCCAGTTAATTTGTTCACCTGCCTACACATAAATTATTTATTTTAAGTATAGTAATGGGTTAAAGGCCTATGATATTTATTGGTTGGCTCACATATAAACAGTTTATCCCTTAATATCTTTATAGACTGAATTTCCTACAATATTATTGGCTGTTATTGAGTCTAAATTCTGTTGAGTCGATAAATTTCTACATATGGTACGTGGTTGAGAGGAAACATATAGTAAGAAAGAAACAGAAGGAAAAATAAAGTTTTCAGTGAGGGGAAGGGGTCTGCAATTTTAATGATGGTGTATTATACTTACTTTGCACTGTAATGGAATGAAACATTTCTGAATTCCACTTTGCCTTTACTCAAAACTAATGTTTTAGCATCTGGATTATCACAAACCTTGAAAAAAAACAAAAAAAAAACCAGAAAGTTTACCACCTTGCATACTCTTAGCATTGAGATTATTACAACCTTGAAATACCGTAGGAAAATTATATTTGTTTATGCTCATATTTCCCACCTGAATCACTTGCAGGATATTTTTTCACAAGCATTTGGGAACGTACTGAGTATTCAGTACTACAACACGTCAGGTAGGGCAAACATTGATTCGTATGTTCATAGAGTAACTATACCTGATTGAATTAAGATAAAATGCTAAATGTTGAATTTGTCAGATATTCCTACCAAACTTACCACATCTTAATAAAATATTTCCATCCTTGATAAAAAAAAATTGGAAAATTTATAAACAGACAGTGAATATACGGGAGTCAATATCCCCACTAGGTTACAGTAAAAGAGAAGCCTCGCCACATGCACAAAGAAGATCTATTGCTTTCGAACACCTTCGAAAGCAATACAGACCCCTGTGATGTCTCTTTTCGTATATAGATATTACACAGGATGTATGCTAAGCCTAAATGGTCACACCTTCAAAAGGAGGTGACGAATCGGGTATAAGAATGCAACGGTGCCAAATCCAACATTCATGATTCTTAAAAAATTATAGAATGTTAAATATTTTACATATATTTTTATACAAAATGAAACATTTACATACATCTTGCTTGGCTTCCATCAAATCAATCATATTCTCCATATCAATAAAAGCCTGCTGAATCATCCTAAATACAATAAAATATATTGAAATTTTAGATAAATGTACTATTTTATCATAAAAATCATTGAAGAAAGTAATTTATTATCATCATTCACTATCCTTAAATCCATATCAAACATTACTTTTAGTAAAGGAAAATATATTTTCTATTATTAATTAGTAATGAACATTTGCTTGATGCTAATTCATCTAGGTGTTATATTTTGCAAAATAAAATTATTATGTTAGAATTGAAATTAAAAAATAAAGTGTTTACCTGTAGTAAGTACCAAAGAAGTTTAAAGGTGAATACAATTGCATTATGTAGGTAGAAAATAGAACATAATCACCAACCTGGAATAAAATAAAAATAGTTTTTTTTTTTAGAAAGTATGACTATACAAAATTCAAAAGCTTGTTAGCAATAGAAGAAGCCTATGGTACAACAATAATGCTTTGAACTTTCCATCAAAGGGTCAAGAGGTCAAGTCTGAATAATCACATTGCTACTTGGTGGCTGGTTGGTTTTGGGTGTATGAGACAATCCCAATTTGTTTTTCCTTAAAATTAAAACGTGTTCTTTCATGCACACCAAGACAAGATTGAAAATCTTGAAGCCCGATTGAAATGTAAAGCATTGAGTCACGACAGCATTTGTTCCCAGGATATGGTTAGTGCACTATTCCTTCAGTACGGTGTAAGTGTTCCGGTTTCTTCTTCCATCAAATCCCCATCGCTCAATGTCTGTCTCTTATACACATCTAGATGTGTATAAGAGACAGTGTTCAGGTTGTGCAATCTCTTGTATGTTTTCGTTTAAATTTTATCGTATTTTAAACATTTTAAATTTGTATTCTGAATTGATTCTATATATATTTATACTGTATGATGTTTTTTATTGTAAATTCAACTATGTTTACTTAGTTGCTAAATAAATAAAGAATTGAAAAGAATAAATGTTCTTCGAACAAAATTATTTATGCGAGTCAAGTGAAAATAATGAATAATAAAAATATAACAAATAATATGAGACACGACCCATTGTCTATATTAGAACACTTCTCATTGGGTAACAAAGTCGTAATTTTTCATTTTTGTCAAAAAGTGTCTGTAGTAGTGAATTAGGTTTTTTTTAATAAAGTTTCAAAAATTTGGAAAATGTAGTTGATTACCAAAGGTTACAATTTTTATTTTGAAGACTGCATGGTCTAGGAAGTGTACATTTTTTTAAGGGTCAAGTTTCCAAGGGCGGGTTTTCTAGGGGCGAGTTGACTGCCAAAGAGTGTTGCCAAAGTGCGAGCCTGCGTGTTATTTGATCACAAGTGCGAGACATCACAAGTGTGAACCAGCGAGCCATGACGTCACGACAATAGATACAAGACGTTAATGAGTTGTGCGAGGTATCGGCTGAGATTTGTGGAGTACAATTCAAAAAACAACTATAGGTCTAATAATGAATTATTGTGATGTTAAATAGACAATGTTAGCTATCAAGGAGCGACATTGTTTTTCATTGGGACCTTCGTCCCTTCAAGGCTAGGCCTATATCATCCTATCTAGTCTAGGCCTAGAGTAGGATAAGGCTAGCGCGACATGCGGACGTTGGTACGTGTAGGTTAGTCTACAAACGTTGCCTAAAGTAATTGATTTTACCCGGCAGAACGAAAGAAGGAAACTCCGCTTTTCAGTCGTCTTAGGCCCTTGTTTTTTGACAAACAATGACCTTTCAGAGGTCAAATTGCTGTCAAGAATATGAATTGGCTGCTTCGCAGCAATGATATTATCAGCAAAGCCTGGCAAATATTATTTGCCAGGCTTTGCTGACATGTAACATGTTTACACACTGTCTGCTTCACTGGGTGCTAGATGCTGCTGCAGCAAACAAAATATCAAAATGCAATGCTATTAGAATATGAACCAACAGGATTTGATCCCCAGGACTATGGTATTGGAAGGCAAGCTTGTCAGCCACACCTACACCATCATACCTATTCATACATCATTAATTAATGAATATATGTGGCAAAGACAAGCCAAACCAGTCACTCCTCGCAAATCGTATTTCGGAGACAATGGCTAAAATATGCTGGAATATCAACATTTTTTACATCAATTTTATTGCACTAAACTAACCTTTATATCTATACATCATGCTATGTTGGTATTTCCCCCATTTTCAATGTTAAACAATAATTTTTAATGATTTTGTGATGGCTTAATTTTTAATGATTTTGTGATGGTTTCTACCTGAGAAATTCCTAAAGTTGTAAACTTTTAAGGCTGATTTCAAAACTATATCAATAATATGTAATGATACAGTTTTGGAAGAAATTTTTATCGAAGAGTTTTTACATCAATTTTATTGCATTAACTAACCTTTATATCTATACATCATGCTATGTTGGTATTTCCCCCATTTTCAATGTTAAACAATAATTTTTAATGATTTTGTGATGGTTTAATTTTTAATGATTTTGTGATGGTTTCTGCCTGAGAAATTCCCAAAGTTGTAAACTTTTAAGGCTGATTTCAAAACTATATCAATAATATGTAATGATACAGTTTTGGAAGAAATTTTTATCGAAGAGTTTACTTCTTACTATTGTAGTATGTTTATTTGTTGGGTCAAACTCATTGAATATCATGTACAGATTTTACAAAATTCTCTTAAAAATATTCACGCAGACATCAACTCACTTGATATGCTGTTATTGCCACATCATATCGATCCACTTCAAAATCCTCGTTACCATAGTACTTCACCTGATAAAATTCAATACAAATATTGAAGAAAATATGTTGGTACTTTAAAAGACAATTTATATATTTTTTAATAATTATAAAATATTAATAATATAATAAAAATATTATATAATATAATTAATATAATATTAAAAATATTTAAAATGGGCCAATTTCTAATAAATGATCAAATGTACAGAAAGCTTGCATAGTACAGATATTCTAAAAGAATGAGACCAATAATAATAAAGTAACCTAATAAACAATGACATAATGGAGAAAATAATAAACATACCCACAAGGGTGATCATGAAAAAAATAAATGGTGCTTAGTTTTAACAAACCATGCTTGGTATGCAAATTGTTTGAGAGAAACACATGAAAAAAAATCAGGGAGGCATCAGAATAGCTCAATTGGTTAAAGTAGCAATACTAATAATAGCCACTAGGGGTGGATTTAGGGAGGGGGAACAGGGGCAAGTGTCCCCTTATTTTGCCACTGCCATCTTTTTTTTTAAAAGAAAACGATACAAAATGCCATACAAATACTAAATGTTACTATATTTTGTAACAGCATATACTAAATCATACCATTATTGAATATATACATATTTATCTGTATAATTACATTGCATCTAAAGGCTATATCACAGGTGGGCAGTTTGCAGGCAGTGAGCCGCATGGGACGCAACAGTGATTTTTTGGTGGACCTTGATAATGAATCAAAAACCCTATATGTGTGGCCGCTAACCATCTTTGGCTAGAAAAGACCTTATTTTTAACAGCCCGACACTGATCATCTGTAAAAAGTAATGATAAAACTGAGCATAAAGCAGTATAAAAGCTGTACACGAAAGTTTTGGAACCCACTGGAAACATAAAAGTTTAGGTGCGGCCCAAAGTGTTAAATAAAAAATTCATGTCTCCAAACCCCCTCCCACGACCCATTTTTATGCCTACTCCTGGCCTATATGAAATCACTTCGATTAAAAAATACTGGATCCACCCCTGAACAAGAAAAAAAGGGAGATGGCTGTTTATTTTTTACTTTATAGCTATCAATTACAATTTTGAAAAAAAGGGAATGAAAAAAGTATAAAAAGGTAGTAAAGGTGTAAGTATCACACTACGGGTTAGAAGGAAATGTAGGATCAGAGAAGCTGGACGAGCCAATAGCCATAAACGTTTCAAAATTAAAAATCTAAACACAAAATGTGACTTACAGTTTCAAAGTTGAGGAGAGAATCCACTGCTTTTTGTTTCATCTCATTATCCTTAAGATTCATCTCTCGTCGATATTTTGTCCGCCACTCAGTAATAGCAATTGTAGCAACTGAAGATTTCAAGAGAAACTAATCTTCATTTCATACAAAATACATAATATTTTGGTATTAAACTAGTATTATATAATTTAAAATACATCACAAAGGATTTCCATAAATGAAGTCACTAACATTTATATTTAATTTACATTTATTTTTTAAATAGTAAGTAAGTCAAATTATACAGTACTCTTTTAAACTTATTTCTTTGTTTACACACTATTCTTAATGTTATTTTTCATTTGCATCCTTTTTTTTAGTTTTTCATTATTTTTCTTGTTAATTCTTTAATTTATGTAATATATTTCATTTCCTTTCCTCTATTCTGTTTGTTGTTATTGAGTCTCTAAAAAATATTGCTGAATTAAAATGTTAAAAATAAACATAGTGGCCATTCCAACTGACTGAGAGGCAAATCTGCAACTGCTATGCAAAGTGGTTTCTCTTAGGGAACAACATACAACTTAAATTTACAATTATAATTTACTCGATACAAAATATATTCTTTAGCTCATGAGAGAGCAACCATAAGCGACTGCGCTGTTCCCCCTTGCCACTCACAAATTTCAGAAACTTACCCACATAGGCTGCCATGGCAATGAATACAATTAGACCGAACCAAGCGTTAAAGCTTGTGATGAAAAAGACAATTGCAATGAGAATGTCTGCAATAGTTGGCGCTATGTTGAAGAGGATGTAGCTAAAGCAAAGAAACAAACATCACATTTTTTAGTATACTTTGCATATTATGTTTTTATTTATCATGTACATATCTAATTATGTACCTATTTACAAAATCAAATCAAATCTCTTTATTTGCAACAAGGTAAACATTGTTGAATTTACAATTTACAATTTTTTTAAATATCTAATAATAATTATTTTTAAATTTTAATATAAAATTATCAGTTCATACATACCTAAGTATACTATTTATACTTGTTGTACCTCTGTCCATAATTCGAAGAACCTCCCCGGTTTTACGGTTCAAATGCCAATGAAGGGATAAACTAAAAACAAAGTAGGAAAAAGAATAAAGGTAAACGAAAATGGTATCTCTATTTAAATGGGCCCACTTATTAATAAGGAAGTTATGCCCTGTTGTTTTTATTATTATTTTTATCATTATTATTATTTTTAATGAATTTGTTTGACGGAACGTTGTCATTTGTCTTTATTTACCGAACCTTTAGTTCCGTAATGATTTTCGTAGTTAAGTTGTCTTTTCACTTTTCTGTTGATTTTGGTCTTTTAGATGCACCATCATTTTGGATGTGTGCCACTGTAATAAAAGTGATTCCAAATAAAAACTAAACTAAACTAGTACCAGCTTTTAAATCCTAGGAGTACTGGGTCAATGTAGTACTAGACCCAAGACTTGAAAATTATGAGGAATGCAAAAGAAGGCGTTGCAGTTTTTGAATTAATTTAAATAAGAAGATTATAATCTAACTTTTATCAATTTTATCAGTTAAAAAAATACATACTGAATTACAAAGGATTAAAAAATGGGGGTAACCACTATTTTTTAAATCAGTTTTTAAATATTCAAAAATCTGTATCTCATTAACCGTTCCAAAGTTTTTCGTCAAACACTCTTTTTATGTCTGACAAATCAGTTGTACAACATATCAAAAACCATTTTTCCTCTGGAGCCTGACTTCAAGGTTTAACACATCATTACTAACTAGCATATAACTGAAAGTTGACTTAGAATCAGTAATGTGTATGCTTTTAGAGTGGACTTGAATAGCTTGGTGGTTAAACTGTTTGCCTTCCAATCCCATCATTCTGGATCAAACCCAGTGGTGGTGACAGAAATTAACGTTTAAGTTCCTAACTTAACCTTTAAATTAAGCAATTCAAATGTGGAATTAAATTTACCTCATGACAAATAGGTACACCATTAATGTTTAGTGTATATTGTATGTATTAATTCAAAAATTCAATTGAATTGCTCATTTAAAAGGTAAACAAGTTAATTTTTCACTGTCAATCAATTTGGCAAACAATACGACTTTCAAATGAAAGCTAACACTAACAAAGTATGAAATTCAAACATTTAACTAACATTTTTTACTAATTCTTCCCAAAAAAGCACAACTTGGGCCATACTAAGCCATAAAAACTCTACCTACCAAAGATTTTTTATTTCCTGACCCCGACCGAGGCTCTAGCCGGCCCTATGGTTTGGACCCCTCTGTCGGACATGTCAGACCCCATGTCGACAAATTCCTGGAGCCAGAACTGTTCAAACCACATCCCAGCAGGTTCTTTTTTTTTTTTTTTTAATAGCTGCCTAAACATTATTCCATCCTATAATTGGTGTTTTTTTTTGCTGTTGGACATGAAGGGAAGAAAAGAGAAACTTTGTTTACCTATGCAGATGACCAAAAAGATGAACCATAATACTCTTAGTGGTATATTGTTGTACTTTTATCCATAGAAATGAACGCACGTTACTCAGTAAACCAAGTCCACCTATAGGATTATAAGAAAAAAAAAAAAAATAAATATGACAATAAAATTATGATGACTATGTATTACTTCAATCAAAAGAAAATTCCTATTTAATCATTATGTATTATTTCTTCTTTTACATGAGTAGTCATCTTTAGGTAGAACTTACCAAATCCTCCGCCCTGCAAAAACTTGATAGCAACATACACACAAATAAGATGCCATGGAAATATACTAGCGCCATCTTCTGAGTCCTTGGTAAGTTCATTAACTGAAATCATAAATGAAAATCTTTCAATAAGTAAAATAATAGTTTTACAAGTTTCTTGCAGAAATTAAAGAGTATAACAATTAATTAGTAATTTTTTTTAAATCCTTTAATTGATGGAGAACATAAAAGTTAAATTATTTCGACCCTTTTTTAAAATATTCAATTTCAATGTTTTCATAGATCATAGATTTAAGTAGTAGCGTATTAATGAGATAGTAAAAGAAAAAAGAAGGAGTATTGAAATTGGAGAGTGGAGCTATTAGTGATTTGAACCCAGTGTCCTGGAAAAAGGTGAGCATCTGGATCACCAGCTCCATTCTGCTCATCCATACAAATCAATTAGGAAAAATGTTAATTGTTTCTCAAGTTACCTATATCTTTGTAAAGAACTGGCACATAAACATTGGCTACACGCCCACTGATTAAGATCATCAGACAAATGATGACCCTTCCCTGGAGCATGTAGTGACCTTTAGGCCAGACGGACGGCCAGATAAGCTTTGTCTTATGCCAGAATCCTGACCAAGCTGAGCTTTGACCTTCATTCTCCTCAAGAAGTGGCTGAGGAAATAAATTTACAATTTTAAAACACTAAATTTACATTTAGGTAAGAACAGCTTTCAATAAAATTAAATTGAGAAAATGTTTCTTTGAGCTTAAAAAATTAATATCAGTAAAAAGACAGGAAAATACCTAAAAAATCCATATAAAATTTTGAATAGCTCATTTGAAAGGATCAATTTAATTATTAGCCTTCAACAAGAAACATATTGAAAACAATAAATTTTCACCGATTCTTTATTTTCACCGACATTTTACTTAAAAATCTCTAAATCAATTAGAATACCAGCCAATTCATTAGGATCTACTGGTATGCAGAAGAATAAAGGAAAGTTGTTATGGAAACTGTCTGGAAATTGACAGGCAAATTTTAAATTTTATGTTCGTAACTTACTTAAATATACAATTTAAGCAATTCAAATGTGGAATTAAAATTTTCATGTTTTTTACCTCATGACAGATAGTACACCTTTAACGTTTATATTGTATGTATTAATTCAAAAATTCAATTGAACTGTTCATATAAAAGATACACAAGTAAAATCATTCACTTTCAATGAAACAAGATTTTTAAAAATCAAGTATGCAATTCAAATATTTAGCTTTATTTTTTTTTTCTAATTTTTTTAGTGCATCATTTACTGTTTATTTTTAAATGTGCAAAAATAATCTGCATTGAAGCTTACCACTGCTGATTCTTGATTGAGGTCTTCATTCACTAACAGTCTATACTCTTTCTTCGGTAGTGCAGGTGCGCGAAACCCAATCACGAACAAAATAAATATCAATACATAACGACACAACCACAGACCAAAGGAAACCTTCTGATCCTTAGTGCCAAGTGACCACCACCATTGAGGGCTATTCCACGAGATGAACGCTAAATTCTCATTGACAAGTGCGAAGGTCCAAAATACCAATAAAACTAATCCATGGCCTCTCCCTCTGTAACTCATCAAAGTTTTGGAACGTTCTGTCCAAAGCAACGAAAGACAGATCATCCAAGTCAAGATGTAGAATATTGTACTGAGTTCATTGTAACCGTGAAGATGGCCGGCTGAGTGCGCTTCGAGGGCTATACGTATAATGTACTGAACGATAATCAATAATGAAAGAGTTACTTGGATTTGAAAGCCTTTCGCTTGAGGTTGGAACTTTTCTTCGAGCCTGATTGCCCACATCCAATACACAAGTAGCTGAGCACCGCCGCCTAAGATCATGATGCTCAACAGAACTGAAGATGTCACAGTTTCTAAGAAACAGACCGAGATGCCATTTTGTGTCCATGGTGGCAGAAGAGATGTGTTGCCTGCACAGTAAGACAGCATAGTGAAGTTAAATTTAAGACCTGAAAAAAAAAATTGTTTCCAGTTTTAAATAACTATGTAAAATCAATTACATTTTTTATGTGACAGCATTGAAGTTTGGATTTACTTCATCATAATTTACGACATCTCCTAGATTAATGTATGCTCCCAAAATACTGTACCATCAACATATATTAGAGAGTAACTTTGACAGCACACATTGTAGCAAATTTTAGAACTGTTGTTAATGTTTTTCCAATGTAGATAAAAGTGTGAACTTATTATTTTTCTTTTATACGCCAAAATGAGATTGTACAATACAATCTACTGGGTCAATGGACAAGATTTTATAAGTGAACCTAATAACTATTGTATTAAGGAGATACTAAATGTTTTGCAGCAAAATAAATTGAGTGAGCGAGTTGTTAATTTCACCTAAATAAATTTCACCTAAAAAAATATTTGTGATACACATTTTTCACAAACATTTCTGTCACGTTGCCATGACATGTCGGCATACCATGGTGACACGTACAATCATCAATTCGATTCTGTACTCATGGGCGAGATAAAATCCTTTCTCAAGATTTGATTAGCTGCGTATTATTTCACTTTGCAAAACGGAGAAACACTTTGCCAATTGCAAATCACCAAGCGAAAAATCTGGTGATTGAATGCTTTCAATTCACACAAATAAATTCGCCTTGAAAACCGAAGTCGAAAACCGGCTTCAGGTAGCATACGATCCTCATCCACCCAGTCCTGTTGTAGCAATTGCGACAGCCAATCACAATTCACAATCGTGTGTGAAAGCTCACCGATATCGCAATTGTTATTGTAATTTGGTGCTATAATTATTATTACTCCCAATTACCACAAAATCCAATCGCAACAACAAATTCCACAGGCACTGTTTGGCTGTGGTCAGTCAGCATAGGCCTAACCACCGGAGGCCTAGGCCCTAGAATGTACAATTTTTTGTGTCGGTCTGAATGCGCTCGTTGATTGCGATCAGGAGTAACTCAGTTTTGGATTACCACCGATTATATCTGACCGATCGCAATGGAGTGTAGTCTGAATAGCGTATTAGGATCAAGCCAATGCCAACTGCCTGGGATTTGAGGGAAATCTTCAGGTAGTAACTGTAATAAATATTATAAAATAATTAAATAACATTGAATTAATGATGTTAAGGATGTATTATCCCCTGAAAATGACAACAAAAAAAAAATTATAAAAAATAACATCTATTACTTGTCGTAATCGAGGTTAATCGAACCGACGTTTATCATTGGCTTTAATAGTTGTTTTTCAGCTGGATTTAGGCCTAGGCCCTATTTTTCGATCTGTGTACGCACTTGGATCATTACTAATTTTTGAAATAATTATTGTACGTGTGAATTTCATGTAAACACACATAGTCAAACAACAGCACCATACATTATAAAGAATGACATACAATACGGCAAATAGATAAGTTTTCATAAACGTTTAATCAAAAAACTTCACGCTTCTAACTCAGACATTCTGGCAATTTCTTACTGATTGCAAAATGGCAGCTGCTCGTCGTGCTAGCGAACACAGATTCTCTGTACTTATTTGTGGGCTTATTTATTTGTTGAAAAAGTTACTTTGTGAGTGGTTAAATCAGGTGAAAATGTTTGTTAATTATACGTTGTGACTGTGAGAAGAACGTTGAGGTAAAAAAAATAAGAATTAAAAGTTAGGTGCGAAAGTTCATTAGCGCCACCTAGGCCTAGGCCCCTAGGCCTATATATGGCATTTTGTTGGATTAGGTAGGTACAAGGTTCCCTTGCGAAAGAAAGTAAACAATGAGTCAACAAAAAGAAAGGGCCACGCTATGCAAGGCCTAGGCCTAGGCTGCTAGGCCACTCATTAATCATGTGAGTAGAGTCAAATGAAAATACTAAATACTAGCTACCAACTTACGTAGGTTAGTATTATCTGTGGTACGGTTAAAATTAATTTACAATAAATAATTCTACAACACAATTGATCTAGGCCTAGCTTGCTAGGTAAGTCACACACATCATCCCCATGAAGTTGCCTGCGTGAGTTTTTAAAGCGCATGCGCAAATTAAATACTGCCTAAACGTACATTTTCGTATTCCCAGGACCCTAGGCTAGTTCATCAAATTTAGGGTGGATGGATCCATACATTTCAAATTCAATTAAAATTGTGGTAGCTCATTTTAAAAAATCAAATAAGGCAACTTTCAAGCAGAAACATATCTAAAAAAATAGCTTTCGCTAAAAATTAGGACGAGGCCTTACAAAGTAGATAACTGGTTTGTATAACCTAAAAAACCTCATAAAATGACATTATTCCGAAAAACTGTAAAAGAAGAACCAGAAATGCACTGTTTATCTTCTTATATTAATTTATCTTCTTTTGACTTTTAGTCTTGCTCTAAGTGGCCTTTTCATTTCCTTGAATTTTGACAATAATTGTGTGGATATAAATGTTCTACAGAAACTTACTATGATATAATGTTACACTAATTTAACGAATTTCCCGATCTCCATTACTAACTCGTTACACTTTGTTTTTGTACCAAAATTATAAAAGAAAGAAAAAAAAAATTACATTTCTGAGCATCCTCGTGCTTTGTCCGTCTTGTCTCCTGTTTTGTTTTCGGCTTTTTGTTTGTTCTGTGTGTATTTTTTTTTTTTTCAGGGCTGCCCTACACAGCTCCGCTTTCTGGGTTTCGCACCCCCAAACTTGGCTGGTTATTTATTATTTTATATAGGCCTACCCATTATTATTACTTTTGAGAAATAAATGTTCTTTTGAACTTGAACTTAAACTTGAATGGATATATTACACTCCCACACTTTATGAGCTCAAAACCTAGATTCCCGCTATCGTTTTGAGAGGTGCGTTTATTAAATAAAATCAACATACCCTTTCTCACAAGTGATCTTGAATTAAACATAACTTATTTTAACTTCCTAAACTGAAATACTTATGTAAACATATTTTAACAGCAGTTGCCTCAAAAAAAAAATTTTTTTAATACCGTATTTATTCGAATAAACGCTCTTCAAATAAACGCAACTCGAATAAATGCCCGTCCAGAGCGCCTTGTTTTGGAATGATTTAAGGATATCAATAAGTCTTTATGGTGACGCATTAACACATTCTGGTGGTAATTATTTGTTGTAGTTGAATTTACAGTGGACTTAAGGGGAGTTTACACACACAAAAAATAAACGCCTCCCCCGAATAAACTTCCCCATCAAAAACCCTTATCAACAATACACGCCCGGGACGCTTATTTGCGGATATGTTCATAATACCGGTACTCTATACAGTTAAATAACCGGCTGAGTAATTTTAATCCCGAGTGCATTGTACTATCACCTTCAATTTTGCATAATGGTGTCTGAACAACACATTCTTTTAGTTGTAGCACAGACTTTTCTCGACAGCGCAGGGATGGGGGGGGGGGTCCCAAACAACGTAAGTGGGGGTGTTTAGCAGTCGCTTATAGAACCCCTCAGAGAGAGTTGAAACTATGAAAATTTAGGCATATGGGGCAATCGACGTTGGGGTTTAACAATATGTGAAAAATACATAGGCTTATACAGCATTTGTTTTTAAGTTCCCAACGAATGATTTTTTGTCCCTCCCTTCTTATTATAGGCGTATCATGGTTCCCTAACAACTGGGAAACCATTTTATTTTGTCTTCTCCATCAGTGACCAGCAATATAGATAAAAACCTCTGTCCTCGTCGGTACTAGCCGTCACGCCTCTCAAGGCTCTGCCGAGAATTACAACTTTTATCTAAATTATCTATAGCATGTTGCTGTTTACCTTGTTAATTTTATCTGCTTAATCCCTGTTGCCATTGAAGCCCAGGTCATTTGTTGTGATTTTCTGTTGGGACAATAAAGTATTTTCATTATATTTTGAACTTCAATTGTATAAATAAAACATTCCGAACGTCTTGTTGGAACGCATGTACCGTACTCGCGCGAATATTTTTTTGCACTTTCTGAGGGGCGCTTATTCAAACGGGGCGCTTATTTAAACGGGGCGCTTATGAAAGCAGAGTGGAAATTGAGGGGCGCTTATGGAAATACTGTAGATGAAAATCGAGGGGTTCTTATGGGAAGTTATTAAATTCAAGAGGCACTTTTTGAATGAAGAAAGATTATATAAGGACATTACGAATGGTGGTTAGAAAAGATAATCGTACAGAGAACATGGCTCATGACAAGAATGCGTGAATATTTACATAACAACAAAATAGTAGATGCAATTAGTGGTGGTGGGTAGTGGTTAGCTTGTTGGCCATCGGCCGATTGAGATTAGCAGGATGGCAGGATCTTTGATTTTTTTTTTGAAAACTCAGATGAGAATGTGCTAAAGGTCGGAAAAAGAAAAAGAGGAGTAGGACTAGGCATAGAAAAATATGTAAAAAGAGTAAAGTTGGAAATATACTGTCTGTCCAGGGATCGGAGCTTTCTCTGTCCAAGAGAAATATCCTCATTTTGATATTGACGAAGAAGAATGTGTTTCCACTCTACAGCTCAAATCATGCCAACAACCACAGTCCCAGGATTGATTGATTTGCTAAAAAGAAAATCTTATAAGGGGGCGCTTATTCAAATTAGAAGGGGGCGCTTATTCGCACGAGTACGGTATGTTAGGAGTGCTTCTTCAGAGGCTCAAGTTTAGTGTCATTTTGTATGAATAACGTACAGTGATGACATCAATTACACATAATATTATAACCTGTATATTATTATATTACAATATTCTATTTCATATTTCCTTTGAACTTTCACATAAGGACACAAACAAGATAATAAAATCTAATATAAATATAGTTTATTAGTCACTTGTTGCAACAGTAGACCCACAATAATACTATCATAATAACATAATACTATCTCTAGAATAAAATAAATCTTCGAAACTTCGAAAACAAATCACAAGTGTTGCAGTGCAAAGCAACATTTCTTATACCTGTACCTAGTGTCATGTCCTGGACCTACAGTACATAAGCATAACCCTTGACCCACATACACATGGCCTTTGACTCACTCAGCAATGACCTTGGACCTATGTACATGCCCTGTACCCACATGGCCATATATCTTACCCACATGGACATGTCCCTTGACCACATAGACATACTGCTTGACCCACATACTTTTGGCCCTGGACCTAGATGGACATGACAATTGGCCCACATACATGACCTTGGACCTAAATGAACATGACCCTTGACCTACATACACATAACCCTTGATTTACATACACATGACAATGGCAGTGAACCAAAATACATTTAACCCCAGACCTAAATAGCTATGACCTTTGACCCACAACCTGAACCTGCATCCATATTTTTTTTTCTGTCAGATTCAACAATTTTAATAAAACAGAGTGAGCACTGTCCAATTTCTAACAGACATAAAAAGGCAAGATTTGACTAGATAATATCTTTAAACAAGTTCCCACTCTCAAAGTCTGATCAAACTTTCTTCTTGTACCTTTCTTTGGGCGATCCTTAACATCAAGTTTAAGTGCTATTCTGGTTTGATAAGTGAAGGACGGAATAATGGCAATTCTACCAATGTAACTATCAGTGTTCAACAGCAATAGCAAAACTGTTATTGTCAGGGGAGCTCATAACTAACATTTTGAACACAAACACCTGTTCTGGTAATATGCCTATGAACACATACAAGCATCGGTGATATTTTTAATCACAAACCATACAATCACATTCCCTGCCCTTGAAACAAAATGGAAATATTAAATTATTTTTTTTTTACATAATTTGTTTCCATGTTTCTTCTATATTTATCTCCATCTTCCAAAGAGATCTCCTCTCCGATACTCAACTAACACAGACATTTCCCCAACAAATATTGACATTCACTGGTCTACAATTTGACCACAGTGCATTCACTGCCACAAAAGTGGTACAGTAACAATAAATACTAGATTAAGAGCGCTGTTGCCTATAAGTACACCAACCTCATTTCGAGGGCATTTAGTCTGAATGTGAAGATATAAAATATATAAATGGTCCAATGTTGTAAAACCCTATGCACACTACCATATTATATTTGAAAAAAAACATGTGACAGGCCTATATATGGTAATGATGACATCAGATCATGACCATATATATACATACACATCATGATTATATATGGGCATACATGGTTCATTGTCAAAGAAAATTTGATAGAGTAGACAGAGCTTATGTTATTATAAAATCTAAATACAGAAATCTAAATTCAAATTTAATGCCCTTTAGAGTAATGTAAGTACAATTTAACATTCAGAAATTATAAACACTCCTATTCAAGATGCCACTGTATACCAACGGTCGACTACTGTCAACTCGAGTAAATTAAGAATAGGCAAATACAGTTAATAAAGAAAACACACTCATACAAATATATCTCAAATGTTGGCTAAAATTGTGACAGTGAAATTGTCTAAACCTACAACAGTACAGTTCTAACATTCTTCTCATAATAAATAAATTGTGTTCATTATTGTTTTTCTATAAAAGCATTATTTATGGTAGCATTATTTTTAAAATACAAAATATACAGTAACAGGTACAGTACAGAGACAAATACTGAGTTGTAAATATTTAAGGCTGAGGCTTTGTCTCAGACTTGAGTTCAGACTATATCAAGTTAGATGATCAAGAAGTATGATACATGGTGATGTCATCATATCACATCCATATATGGGAAAGTCACTGGTATTTGTCACATAAAACTTTATAGTGTGGATTAAGCATAAGAAATATAATCTGTCTGACCTAGTAAATAAAAACATGTTTCTATTAATATTCTGTCCATACAATAATTTTCTGTGACAAATGCTAGTAAAGTAATCTGCATACAATACAATATTTAGCCTATGTGCATGATAGTGTCATATCTACTATGTGGACAAATATATTTGTCACAAGAGAACTGAATAGTTTGGACAAAGCATTTAATTGATAAGGTTAGCCTATTAAATATTAATTACTTTATCACCATATGTTATATTAACAAATTATCATTTTCAACAGCGTTTTATTAACTTTAACAAGCAAATAAATTAGCTTTGAAAAACAATGCAAATTATGTTACTGCATAAAGTGCAAGTCTTTTTTAGGATTTTTTTTAAAAACAAATCTGAATAGTGTGAAAAGCGCATTATTGGTAAGATCAGCCTATTAAATATTAATTACTTTATTGGCACATTACATTTACCAAATTATAATTTCCAACAGCTTTTTATTAACTTTAACAAGCAAATAAATTAGCTTTGACTAATGATGCCAGTCGTGTTCCTGCATAAGCTTTTTTTTTTTAAAATAAAACTACACAAAAATAAATAATAAATATAGACCTATCTATTAAGTGCATTTAAATTCTAACAAAGTGAAATATTTAGTGGTAAATATACAATAATTTATTGATATTTATATAAATAGGTAAAAGCCATTCAAATGTGAAATTCTTAATTCTGTATTAAATCAATCAAATGTCATACAAAATAGTCACCAAATAAGATTTACAGTCTAAATTCATATCAAATATTAGTGTACACAGTTGTATTTGTGCATAATATTAAGTTGGTTCAAATGATAATCAATATTGTATGCTATTCATAAAATAATAATAATGCATGATGAAATATTATAATTCATGCATTAGAGTAGACTCATTATATATAAGTAGCATTATAAATATAGGAGTAGCACCTTGACAAATCTATAAACATTATTTATCAAAAATATATTAAATGTTTAACAAAACATTGCAATCAATGAACAGAGACTGAGGATATGTATTCAGATTTTTTAAAGATATTAATTTTTAATTATTTTAATAAATTTTGAAGTAATCATCTTTTCAAACATTATACCTGTATTAGTACCTTGCTTCACACTAAATATTTTGTGACCTTTTTTGGTATTCTTTTTTTTAAATTGTTTTTTGGAACTTTATATAAAACCTATTGTAAATTTTGTTTCTCTTGTGCAAAAACCAACATGGCAAGTTGTTGCCTGGATGCCAAGCCATCCGCGCGACTCTCTAAGCACCTCTGGTAGTGGTCTTCACTGAGAGTTGGCTGACACATACGTTCATGGTATCGCTCTTTAAGAGATGGGTCTACAGCACGAAAAACATGCAACTTCGTAGCAAGGAACATTTCAAAGAGATCTGTGTCGGATTGGATGTGATCGGTGCTACTGCCTGGATGCTTCTCGTCCCAAATTTGACGTGCGTTTATGAAGTCGGAGTTGTAAAAACTTGCATGCTCGTAGAGAAGACTCTCAAAGCGTCCAACATTCTTTGAGATCTCAATTTTGTTTGGATTTGGCATATCTTTATAGATAATGTTGGTATCGTATTGTGAGAATGGAATTGGAAAGAACACCTGATAACCGAGGATAGAATTCATGCGAACACGATTAAGGTACTCTTGTGACAATTCAGCATTAACGGTGCTTAGGAAAAATAAAGTGTCTGGTGGATGCTTGCCGGATATAACATCCATTATAGCAATGGGGGATGGGATGGTGGTTTTGACGCTAATCCACGATATACGTGATCCTTGATACTTTTTCACGTAATGAGATACCAACTGCTTTATGTCAATGTATATATCATTTTGTGCCATGATGCGAGCTTCGGCGGGAGTGTAGATGAAAATGAGCATCAAGGCAGAATTATCGTGGGTTTCTAAGCACACAGATGCATAGGATTCGAGAAAAACTTTGAGCTGATCTCTATCGTTATTTGAGACTGGTATAATAATTGTCACTTGGTTGTACTCAGTCACGTACGGCATATTGATGATCTCAGCTTGTCCAAGAGGACGCAGGAGGTGAACTCGTTTCTGAACAGTTTGTCTATCAACAGTCTGTAACTGTAAATCTAATGTGTACTCCATTCCTCTTGTAGGATCAAACCTTCGATAACCATTCACTAATCTTCCTCCCGATGTAAACGTATCGCAGTAATCAGAATTCAGTTTGCTCATAGCCGTGCTTAAGATCTCGTCGATATCTTGCTTGTCGGGACCAACAAGCTGTGTTTTGGGGTTTATCTCTGACATGCCATAAATGTGTGTTGTTGTGAAATACTGCCAGCCAATCACATCAAACCTTGTAGTTGGGTTAAAAGGGCTGTTGAACCCTGTCGGCCAGGTCCAACCATTTTCTCCAGCTGGTGTGTCGGGAACAATTTTCTCAATCTCCCGCCGGATTTTTTCAATCTCAACTTCTGTCTCATTGATGGCCAACTCTGAAAAGAACTTGTGAAGTTGGTAGATAGATCTCCTCTCGTTGACATGATAAACTGTTACAGCCTGTCGCATGTGAACATCATTCATTTCTAGCTCTCCAAGTGATTTACCTTCATAGTTGTAACTGTTGTAAACTGAGCCCTTCAAAATGACAAAATGAAAAAAATAAAATAAATAAATTTTAGAAATTATAAAATATTATAACCAAAAACTATATATAATGCATTTAAGGTAATACAGTACTTCAGTATCATTATAATAAAACATTGAATGTAGGTACATACTGTACTACAAGTTAATTTTACTTTCAACAGCCGAAGGCCTGAACTACAGATATGTAGAGTATTAAGTTATAAACAATTAGAAACAGTAGTATGTTGGTTAAAACATTAATCAAAATTTTTTTTTTTATCTACAGTTTTCAACTGACTCAATTAGAGCATGAGACAAGAGTTTGATTCTATAACAAGTAAAAATAGTTAAATTCAGATATCACTTATACAAAATACAGTATTAAGCTTCTGTTTGATGAGACCACACATTAATGTAACATTGCTAACAGAAGATAATCTACCTCATAGATACTTGTACACTGTAAGTTGGCATGCTGGTGAACACAGCGACCAACTTCCATGTCAGGTAGACTACTAAAAGATGTCTTCATACAATCCTCAATATGCGCTCCAAATTTCTTCAACAAATTACGAGAAATAATATAACCTGAAAAGAGAAAAGTTGTTAAAGATAAAAGGGGCTTCCATTTACTATCAAAGTAGTGTCCAAGACAATAAAATGATTTTTTTTTAATACAAAGAACACAAGAGAACAGAATTCTAAGCATTTACTGTAACAGTTAACAACATTACAGTATATGTTTATGATTTTAATACTTAATTAATACTTTTCTCACAATTGTTTGTTATAAATAGTACACTAGTAGTATAATAATTTATTTGTTGTAGGGTATAGTATTCTGTCATTTAACTTCTGGAGAATTTACCTTTTGTTAGTTTGTTCAAAAATATCATGCATAAAAAAGTTTAGACCATATGGAAATATTTGGTGTTTAGTTAAATACCTGCTTCTTTTCTGCAATATGTGAAGCCCATATCAACTTCCCTTGTCGGTAGTCCCATGTACATATCATGTCCAATACTGATGTGATTAATAAAGTTCATTAATTTATCCCCATTCAGATAAACATCATCTTGTATCATCATGAACCAATCAAAATCGTTTGAATAATGCTCAAATATATAGTTCCATATTTCGAACGTATGCATGATTGGTTGGTCTACTGAAAAAGGCACAATGTGCATTCCAGTTGGAGGCGAATCCACCTGAGTTTTTGTAAAGAATATTATTTTAGGCACCAAGTGTCCTAGAGTTTTATTGATCGCAACAGCCATTGAGTCAAGATCCATGCTGTGACATACAGCAACAGCAATAAATATTTTATCTTTTATCTGAAGCTCCGGGGCAACGTATCTGAATCGAAGAAGGTTGCTACGTTCAACTGTTTTCTTTTCGGGTGGATTGTGAGCCGTCATCAAAACTGGCTGAAATTCTTCATCATCCATCGGGTTTCCATTTCCATCGAAACCGTACAGAGAGTATGTCTTCCTACTTGATCCTAGGCCTTTGTGGGTCAACCTCTCTACACCACAACTTGAATTCATCAAAGGAGAGCAGAGGAAACTGAGTGCCACCCCAACACTAGCACCAATGAATATCGAAATGACAGGTCGCCACTTCCTCATTGTACGGTTAATTGTTGATGCCATTGTTAGTATTTACTAAGCTAAACAATACAACTATAATATTCTTTAAAAGGATATTCGTCGTTTTATGTAGATTCTTCCTATAATATACATTTTCGCGTGTAATTTGTCAAGAAATGTAGCTCAAAAAACAACAATGACTTCTTTATTATTTGCCAACTGTACGACGAGTCCCTCTATCAGGTCAGTTTTCACAGTTTATTATTGCCTTAGTCTCTAAATAAGACGTTTATTAACAAGGTCGCTTTAGAAGACAAAAACGTGGATTGGAGACTACGTGTATCCCACCATGCTTAGCAAATACAAAGATGGCGACTATTACTGAGGTAAGCACTTTTTTTTTGCTTAGTAGGCCTAGGCTACGCCACCATTTACATGGAAATGCTGATCTTAATCGTTATTATTCTGTAAACAAGAAAGTCTGCGTAGGCTCTAATCAATTATTAAATTGAATTTAGGAAAAGACAGTTTATAAAGACAGAACTCTCCAGCGCTCTAGGCCCTAGGCCTAGTTAGTAGTAGTAGTAGTAAAGTAGGCCTAGCTAGGGCCAGGCCTAGGCCTTAGCCGGTCCCTTAGCCTAGCCTAGGCTAGCCTAGCCGTGCGTGGCCTAGGCCTATACCGCGCCCAGGCGGGCCCCCTAGGCCTAGGCTAGCTAGATAAGTAGGCAGGCAGGGACTCCTATAATAGCCTAGGCCTCCTACCTAGGCCTAGAACAACTCCCTGCCACCCTACTACACTACTACAGTACTATTCTAGACTAGGGTAGGCTAGGGCCTACTACTGACTGTAAAGTCGAAGTAGGCGGGAAGAAGGATGCTTACCGACAAGCAGAGTTTAACCAGGGCTTGGGCCTATCTTTTTTGGGCTTGGCTAGGCTAGGGATGCGGCCGACATACAGTTGTTGCTGCTCGATGTGGTGAGTGATCAGCAATAGTGTAAATACTATTTAACCTGAAGTAGTCGCAGACTGTATAATATTATAATAAAAGGCCTGCGCTGGGAATATATCTTCCACATGAAAATTTGGCCTAGAAATCTGTCCACGCATTTTATTGGGCTGTGACCAAACCTTAATATAGGCCTATCCAAACAATGCAATTATGCAGTAATTACGATTCCGCACACCTATTTTCCTAATTTTTGAGATATTGTCTGTGCAATTCAAAAACTTCACAGTATGGAAGTAGTCGGTGAGGCAGCCTAGCCTAGACCTAGCTAGCTAGAAAGAAATGTATTTTAAGGCCTAGTGTATTAATATTTTATTATTAATAAAAAATTAAATTATTAAATATAAACTAGAAATTGCAAATTGCAAGTGAAGTGCTGCGAAGTACAACTGCATATAAATGTTCTTCAAACAAAATTATTCATGCGAGTCAAGTGAAAATAACGAATAATAAAAATATAACAAATAATATGAGACACGACCCATTGTCTATATTAGAACAGCGTTGGTACCATGTGCAATAGTGTTTTGCTGCAGTGACATCTCGCTGCTGGCAACTCGCTGCTGCTGACGAATCGATCTGCGCATGTGTATAAAATGGTATTTATTTCCGAAAACACTGTGTATGCCCGTCTACAACAAGCGTCGCCTAAATGTAATAATTAGCATGTTGAAATAGGCTAGTAAATAAGTTTGTAAATAATATTGGCCTCAAAATATTGTGGCTGAGACATGGGCCGATTAAACAAAGAAATAGGAAACCTAGAAATATAGTAAAAACGCTGAATAGTAATACTCCAGCGTCGCGACATGCGGACGTTGGTACGAGTAGGTTAGTCTACAAACGTCGCCTAAAGTAATTGATTTTACCGGCAGAACGAAAGAAGGAAACTCAGCTTTTCAGTTGTCTTAGGCCTCGTTTTTTGACAAACAATGACCTTTCAGAGGTCAAATTGCTGTCAAGAATATAAATTGGCTGCTTCGCAGCAATAATTAATAATTAATCTATTTTTGGTTTAAATCGGCCAGGTTACTCCACTAAGGTCCTAATGACCTGCATGCTCCAACCCTAATTAATCTATGCATCATGTCATGGGGTATGGAGATGTTATTACTCTGCTAAAGCTCCTAATAACCCATGCATAACAACCCTAAAACAAATTTGAAATAGCTACAATCAACAATGCTCATGTCTGCTTTTTGTTATTCAAATTCAGAATTTTTTTTTTTTATTTATTTCCTTCTTGAACCCAGAACCCTGGGAATTAGAAAGCAAGATACAGTATGTGTGGTTTGATTGTTTAAAAAATTGATTTTTTTTTTTTTTTCAGATGGAGGTCGATACGAACAAAGGTACAGGGATACGCCAGTATTACATGACAAAAATAGAGGAATTACAGGTGAGGTTCTATTAAATTTAGTGCTTATTACTCCCTGATTTATGTATACTCAGAATGCTATTACTATCTGTAGTTAATACTGAAAATTTATTTATTTTTATACTTGCTTAATCCTCTTCGTCTCGAGCGGGACATAAGGCGTCAACGATCTGCTTCCATCTGGAGCGATCTTTCACTAAATGTTCTGCCTCTATCCATGTCATACCCATCTCCATCAGCCCGGCCATCATTTATTTTTATAGTAGTGATTTAACAAATATATGGATCAAAACATCTGTTACTGGAATATATGTTTTTTTTTTTCACAGCTTGTAGTAAATGATAAAACTCAAAATTTAAGAAGACTTGAAGCACAAAGAAATGAGTTAAATTCAAAAGGTAAAGTGTCCAGTCACTGACAAAATAACTAGAATATATTGACATTTGATTAATTTCAGTTCATACCACTATAAATCATTCAAGAGGGTTACCCATCAATTTCGATCTGGGGCCCACATATATACAATGGTGTAACTTGAGTACAGAAGAACATATATTTGTAAAATTTACATAAGAATTGATTGTCTTCATAACTTTCTTTATAGTACGCATGTTAAGAGAGGAACTGCAGTTACTGCAAGAACAAGGATCATATGTAGGTGAAGTTGTGAAACCAATGGACAAGAAAAAGGTGCTTGTTAAGGTGGGTTATTTTCTCTGTAAAATTGAGATTTTGTTTTGAAAATTTTTAAGCGATTCTTATTATTAAGAACTACTGTACCATTAACTTCACCAAATAGATAAGCATTTTGTATGTATTTATATTTTTATTGATATTCCAGTTATTTGCTTTGGACTAATTGTTTTGAGTTTTGAGACACCGATTTTGACAGTGAATAAGTTCACTTTTCGGGATTCTTTCTCAACAATGTTTTTTTTTTTTTTAAAGGTACACCCAGAAGGAAAGTTTGTTGTGGATATTGACAAATCTATTGATATAGGAGATGTTACACCAAACTCAAGAGTAGCACTCCGTAATGATAGTTACACACTTCACAAGATACTTCCAAACAAGGTAAAAGAATTGGTGCTCTATAACTTAACTTAAAGAAGATTTATAACCAAAAGGCTATTTATAAAAAAGTATTTATGCCACTTAACTGTGTCATCACCTGATAAATTTGGTGGGATGTTTCATGTTATTTTAAAATGCAATCATCGCTTACTTTATCGTTGTGATACTTTATTCACAGGTTGATCCACTGGTTAGTTTGATGATGGTTGAGAAAGTTCCAGATTCAACATATGAGATGGTTGGTGGCCTTGACAAACAGATCAAAGAAATTAAAGAGGTCATTGAACTCCCTGTCAAACATCCTGAGCTCTTTGATGCATTGGGAATTGCTCAACCTAAGGTAATTATCTTGTCATCATCATCATTTTAATGACAGTGCCATCATCCTTATTAGCATTATCTCCAACATCATCCACATAATTATCATAATCCTTTTAGCATTATCATCATATTAATCATTATCAATATTAAGCTTTTACTACATTGTAAAACTGTGACGAAAAATTATATGCCCATATTTGGGTGTAATATGATATTATGTCCATATATGGGATGACACCGAATTGTCACACAATTTGATGGTGAGGCCAGAGCTCTAAATATTTTGCCAGTGTTAAACTCAGCAGAAATTTTCCTCTGTTGTTGTCTTCATCTTACAATTCCTGCAGTTTGCTTTCAAATGAAGTTTTACCATGAGGAATATTAATATTCATTCTTCCAATGTATTTATATTTGTAGGGGGTTCTGTTATATGGACCACCAGGGACTGGCAAAACTCTACTTGCCCGTGCAGTTGCCCATCACACAGAATGCACATTCATCCGTGTCTCTGGCTCCGAACTTGTACAGAAATTTATAGGCGAAGGTTCTCGAATGGTGCGAGAATTGTTTGTAATGGCAAGGTAGGAGTTTTGATTATATCAGGTGGCAAAAATTTTGTGTTTTGAAATTTAATGTTTTTTGTAATAACTTTACAGTGTGTTTATAAATTAACATGACAATACTGTAGATTCCACCACTGCTAATCCATATACAGCATTTAGGTAGTTCTTATACAATTTTCTACTTTAGTAGTGAAATGTTTACTATTGATTTTTCTGAACATTTTACTTAGGGAACATGCACCTTCTATCATCTTCATGGATGAAATTGATTCGATTGGTTCATCCCGTATCGAGGGAAGTTCAGGTGGTGATAGTGAAGTTCAACGTACAATGTTGGAACTCCTTAATCAGCTAGATGGCTTTGAAGCTACAGTCAACATTAAGGTATGGTCTTAAATGGTTTATATCAGGGGTTATGTTATTGTTGCCAATCACAGGAAATGCCAGCAGTTTTTTTTTTTGGCAACAATAAAAAATATAGTTTAATTAACGAAGGGATTACAACTTACTTATATAGGCCATTACACAATTGCCCTAATCTTCTTTGCAGAAACTAATGCAATCAGGAACACAAGAAAAAAATAAATAGTAATTTCAAGTACCTTAGTAAAGTTGTGATTTTTTATCAGGTAATTATGGCTACAAATAGGATTGACATTTTGGATTCGGCATTGCTGCGACCGGGACGTATCGACAGAAAGATTGAATTCCCTCCACCAAATGAAGAAGCTCGTTCAGACATCTTAAAGATTCACTCGCGCAAAATGAATTTGACTCGTGGTATTAATCTGCGCAAGATTGCTGAAACAATGCCAGGAGCTTCAGGCGCTGAAGTTAAGGTAATCAAACCATTAAGTTAATTTCTTGTTCTTAAACAAGGTAATCGTTTTTCAATTAGTTTTTAATTTGCTAATAGTTTGAGTGGAATCACAAATTATTGTATTCACTATAAATTTTGACTTTGTTTTCTGGACTTTCTACGGGCTTTAACTTAATTTAGTCAAGAGCATATCCACTCTGTGTGTTGAGTTCAAATCTTGTTTTTTGTCAAAAATATTTTGTGGAGAATGTTTCGAAATTTGTCTCCTACTATAAATTATCATATCTTCGACATGTAATCCAGTTTTAACAATTTTGTCATCAATTATTAGCGCTAGATTACAAAGATTTGATAATTTTATTTTAATTTTTTAGACAAGCCTGTTTTTGACAGAATGGGTCACAAATGATTGTATTATCATCTCTACACTTGTGTTTACAGCGCATAGAGACTTTTTGTATTTTGCGCTGTATAAATTTAAAACCATTAACCATTATTAAATGATTAAGGCTCTGGTCACGTTTCCAACAGGGGGTGTGTACCGAAGCAGGAATGTATGCATTACGTGAACGACGTGTACATGTCACTCAGGAGGATTTTGAACTTGCTGTAGCCAAGGTATATATTAAATCATTCTCAATTGCTATAACTAATTGCCATCTACTTATTCTTATAAATTTGAGTGTATAATTTCATCAGATATTTTGTGGCCAACAAAACAGGCAATGTTTTTTTAAACGTTTACCTTCATTCTTATTTTTAGGTGATGCTGAAGGATTCTGAGAAGAATATGTCTATCAAGAAATTCTGGAAATAATTGTGCTCAAGCCGTTCTAGTACCATAGCAATGTGATGCCTTAAGGTGTGTTTGCATTGGATTAAAATTGGCCAAACTAAGCATATACCTGTTTACTTTGACAAAAAAGCCCATTGTGTATAATCTGGGTAACATTCTCCTTGATGAGTGGCAAGTTTAAGCGAGTAAACATTGCCCAGGACAAATAATCAAGCTGTATTCCCCAAATAGAAATGTCCAATGCAAACAGCGCAACTCATGTATCACAGAACCTTTCAGCTATTAAAACTGAAAATGCGCAAAATCTTACTACAGTATCTTGAACTGCCTCTGTATTCAAAACTGAAAGTGAGAATAGTTGAATGATTTCACCAAGGTAGATTTGCCCCTCATGCAAATACAGCTTAAGTAAATATATAGTTTTTCGCTGAAAAAAATTATGCTTTTGTTTGTTTAAGTTGATGATCATTCAGAAACTGAATTTTTCTATTTTGATCACTCTGTTTACTGGCATACTGATATTTCACCATTACTAAATGGAATTTGTAACAAGAAAATAAAAAGCTATTAAGTATTTCTTTGAGTGGTACTTTTGGTTGTAGTATGATTCATAAGAGCATATTATAAGTCTTATGAATTCTAGAGGGCCAACTCACATGCATTCAATTCATTGAAATGTGTGACAAGAAGGGACAGAAGAAAGGGATTGTTGGATGGGTGGCTATGTTGTGGTAAAGAGAAAGGCACAAAATTGCATTGAATGGAGGGTACTATGAACTAACTCACTCATACAGGGACATGCTACAATAAGCAAAATACTGATCTAGTTCAAAAACAGTGGTACTCTTGCTTTCTTCATAACATACTATGGCAAATAATATCCACACATATAGGCAACAGCAACATACTAGCCATCCAATGGGCCAATCAATGGTTTGCAGCATCTTAGGACTAAGAAATGCTTGCACCTACTGAAGGGCATGAAACAATTTACAGCCATCAACAATGGGCGAGTGTGGGAATTATGGAATCAAGTTTTGTTTTGGTCTGAAGTAACCACTAAAAACTTGTATTTGCAAGAATAATGATGATTTCTAAAGGGAATTTGTCAGATATACTGAAAAATCCGCAGTCGGGCATTAACTGTCTGATTGTTATCTGTCATCAGATTGGTACCATACTGTATCAACAACATGTGATGTATCAGAAAATATGAAGCTTACCATCCCAAAAACAGCGTTCACTATCGCAGATTGTTAAACCGAGTAATTGGCTGAAGAATGTGGCTGTATTGTATTAGTAGTGCACAAAGAAGTCGTAATACTTTGGCAATAATAGTAAGTTAGTTGACTGCAGTAAATAACCCATCATTTTAAAGCTTATAATGTGGAGAATAAGATTTTTTTTTTTTAAGTCAATTTTCTTGTTGGTCCCTGATGCTGGTTTTGGCAATAATCTGCACAATGTCTGAAGAAACATTTTTGAATCTGACAAACAAAAATAATATTTAAAATCTTAAGACAATTAAAAATGGTTACTGTACTCAAAATGATGATGCAGAAACACATTATGTAACTTCATTTAATATTTATTTAATATAAAATTTACAGAAATCTGTTCCCATTGAACTAGCAACTTAGTATACAAGGAATTCAACTAGAGCACCTTACTGTATAAACAGAGCTTGAGACTGTCAGTATCTTTAACTTCATGTTCTGACACTGCAAAACTAACCCTTAATGGAAAAAAACTTATATATAAACGGACATTTATCAATACCTGATTAACTGCAGTATTACAATAATAAATAATATAACAGTGATCCAAATTGAGTATCAAATTATCTAACATAAATACTATAATAGGTGTCTATTTCTTGCAGTACACTGCTACATAATTTCTCGATTTGATACTGTAGGTAAAAATGGCAGATTGGTCCACAAAACAACCATGTAAAATGGAACTATGAAACACAGTACATATATGTAAACACTGTAAACAATCATCTGCAGCCATAATGTACCTAACATTTAATTATATAAAACCTCAAAATCCATGCATACAGCAAACCATAGACATTATGCAATGAAAGTTTAAATACAGAGAATGTTTAGAAGCTAAATCTACCAACCTCTTTTAGATTAAGATTCAGACTTTAAGAATGTATTGTTCCTTAAAAAAAAGAACAAAAATTCATAAAATATTAATACTTGAAACAACTTGCTCATTTTTAAATAACATAAAAATTATAAAGTATATCATTTTTATCATTATCTAGTGTAAATATCAGGGTAAACCTTTTTATATACACCAATTTTTCTATGCTCCACTTGATAATTCCTTTCATCAAAATAAGCAAGTTAATTTCACAATTATCTTTAGGGGACAATATGCCTTTAACATAGAAATTAATATCTGTCAGTGTAGAGTTAAACTAGAGATTTCTCACTCATTGTACACTGAGCTACCAGGTGTAGCCAGAATAATACTTGACTATTTTCCTGTCTGATAGATTATTTTTCCTGGCATAACGTGAAAACAAATCTTTAGTCCAGATGGCATTAAGAAACTGTCTATTGTATGATAGATTCATCTATCTGTCAGTCTGTTGACCTGCTATATAATTAAACAGGCATTACATTGGAATGTGTAGCACAGAGTACAGAACAGAGGATACATTTATATTAAGTAGAGTGAACAAGACACATAGAATTTAGATAATTTGATTATTGTGGATTGGAAATATTGCCAGTTGTGGGGAGGTTGGAATTTGTGTTTAGAGCTTCAAAGTTTTTGTATGGCCTACAATCTCTTGCAGTATCACAATGCAACATATGCATCCCACAAACATGCACCTATGGAGTCTACATGTTCATGATACAACCATGGAGGTTTTATTAATAATACAATATAAATATTCAGTATGGGGAAAAATCAAACTTTGTTCCAGAAGTGTACTCATTCCTTCTACAGATAATATATAAACTATAAAAACACAAAACCATTTAAAACCATACTGATCACCATTATCATCTGTACTTCAGCCTATGGTTACAAATTGTTACAACTTCAGCTGCGTAACATTATAAACTTATATTAATAGTCAGACCTCTGTGCTAAAAGGTTTTTGCAACTTTAGCTGCATCACCTTTTGTAAAAGGGATCCACCAATGCTGAGACATATGGCAAGCCTTGGCAAACTCTTAGAAAAACAGCCTCTTACCCCCACCCACAGCACCTTAAGAAGGTTTACCAGCCCATCTCCACTTGGGAACCAATACACCCCAGCATTGATGTACTGTTTTCTGTAATACAGTAGAGGTATTACCTAAGATGATATGTTCTACAACATTGATTTAGTAATAAAAACAATATGAAATGTATATAAATGGCAATACATATTTAATGTTTCATATAAAAAATGTTAAAAATAAATTCACTATAAAGTGCATGCTTCAATACCTATGAGCTTTATTTTTTATAAAGATATATTAAACACACTGGTATCTGTGTACTAAGACAGACATTCTTTAAAAAAAAAAACAATACAATATTCACACAATTTTTAATTCAATATTTTAAAAATGATATAGTAAATTACAAAGTAGATGCAATTTCTTTTTATAGTTAAAAAAACATATCCAAAATATCTCAACACCACCACCTAAAATCAAATGCTCTTCAGGGGCGGATCTAGGATTTAGGGTCAATAGGTCCTCCCCTGGGAAAACTTTGATTCCTAGATGACCGGAAATGAGCTTTCCCGACTTCTGAGGAGTCTTTTAATTAATGACCTTTAAGTTCTTCAAAATTCAAGTTTTTCCCCCTCTTGAGGTCAGGTAATTTTATCTCATTCTTTAAGCCTATCATAGAGGAAAAAAATCAAAGACAGGCAATATATTATTATATTCCAACAACATTGAGTAGTTAGATATGTAGTCTTTCTTCCATGGATCGATGAACCGATAGGCCTGAAGAACGCACTTTCTTACATAAAGTATTACAACGGCGAACCAAAAACAGTGTGTATAATTTATTTAATTGAAAACTAGTTTGGCTAATCCTAGTTTGTATGATCTTCCAACCTATACTTAGGTAGGTTAGCATGCCATTTGTAAGCCAGGACCCAGTTGTATTTTGTTACGTTTCTTCACAGAGGGGGGTTCGTCCGAACCTCTTGAACCCCCCTCCCCCTGGATCCGCCACTGCTCTTTTGGATAAATCGATGATGGTTATTTAATTTGAATTTAAAGATTATACAATACAAAGAAAAGATAATACTGATAGTGTTTAAACGATTAATCTACTTCTGAAAAAATAAATATAGTCTTTTGAAAGTACTTATTTAGGAGATTATAATAATAATAATAATAATAATAATAATAATAATAATGATAACATGACAGCCTCAATTAAAACCATGTAGAAAAGGCCAATATACTTCTTCTTATGGCCAACTCTTACACTCATGCATATAATTATATAATGAGTCACATGCTACAGAGCAGCATTTTGTAAAAGGATGAATTATTTTAGTGTGCACCAAGAAATTTAAAAAAAAAGTCAATGTAACACTGGCTTTTATTTCTTACATAACAGAATTTGTTAGAAGGAAATTCCCTTTAAGACTTCTTAATGAAAAATGTAAAACAAGAGGAAAAATGTAAATACACATGATTGACCTCATGACATTAGGGTAAAAATATTTCACACAAAAATTGAAATTATTATAATTAATAAAACTTCCATCAAACAATCAATCAATTCAGATTTTGAAAATAGCATCATTAATTTTCACAAACCTATATACATAAACTGATGCTGTGAGATTTGATGGATCTAAGGTAAAATATCTACATGCATTTACATAACATTCTTGTTTATCCAATCATGGCAGAGATAATTTCATGATTCTATATCAGATATTAAACATAATTTGTGAATTATGTTTTCAGTAAAAGTAACCTGGCTTAATTACTGTAATCAATTAATTTGTTTAACATCAATGTAATAAAATTCTACAGATGTTTTTATAAAAAAAAATATGGCTAGAGAAAACAAAAATAAAGACACCAATAAAGATGAAGATGATAATGATTATGAAGACGATGATAATGAAGATGACAGAAATGATGACAATCAGTGAAGATGATGATGAATTCAATAATTTAAAAGGAAGATGAGATGAAAAGTAAAGATGATAATTATAATAACACTTGTTGATGAAAATGATAATGCTGATGGTGATAATGAAAATGATTAGGATAACATAGATAATAATAATAATTGTTGACTTATATAGCGCATATTGTAGAGACCTCAATGTGCTAAGCATTTTTACCCCCGGTCATTGAATCGAGCACATATGGAACACATACTCAGGTTCCTTGCAGCTGTAATCAGCACATGCTTCTGTTTGAACCTACCAGTATCCAATTATACTCCTGGGTGGAGAGAGACAACCGTAGGTAAAATGCCATGCCCAAGGAAACAAGCGACTTGCACAGCGTGACCTTCGAACTCCTGACCTCAACGTTGGGAGTCCAAGCCACAAGTGATGCGCCAACCGCTTCTACAGATGATAATGATAACAATAGAAGCGATGATGATGATGATTATATAATGACAATGATCATAATGATGACAATGTTAAGTGAATATGACACTGATGATGACAATGACAATAAAATTATCTATAATGTTTGTGGTTAAGAATTAAAAGTGATGTTGACTATAAACCCTGTCCCATTTACAAATGCCATTTAGCAGTGGATTATGCCAACTGCTTCCTTAATATTACACACAGAGAACAAGCATCAAATAAATATTAATTGTTATATTATTAGCAAGCTAAATGACACAGCAAAACCTTTGATCAAGAAATCATATCTTGGCTGAGAGGGCATCAAACTTGAGGGCATTTCCATAGTAACAGGGATCCTCTCAATCTCATACGGTTGTTGTTAAGCATGCATTGTTCAAGATCAGCTGTTTTCATATCTGTTTAAAACAAGGGGAAAAATAACAAAACATAAAAAAAAACTAAGGTAAAAATGAAAAGAAAAATTCTAGCATTCTAATGAAAATGAATATTCTCTTGCACACAATTAAAACAAAAATTCTAAAAATCCTATTTTTTTTTCTACTGTGAAGTTAGTGTGCATGACAGCGAAAAACACTGAATTCTTTTAATTGAAAACAGTGAAAAATGGAGAATAAAATCTGAAACACTACAATTAAAAATCTAGAGAGTATTTATTTTGACCAGAACCACTACAGTGATATGAGTACAACTACTGTACAATCATGCAATGTGTTTTTTTTTTTTAATACTCTACTGGAGATGTATATGTTAGTAAGCAAATTATGACGGGGGAAAAAAAAATACTGTATACCTACGACACCAACAAGTCATTCCTGCGAATATTGGAAGCAACACTTAGTCATACAGCAAATAACGCTTGTTATCATTCATGAATGCCGGAAGCAGCCAGACAATAACATCGCAAAAAAATGCTGCAAGAACATGCTGATGAATGCTGGTCAAATATCAGTCAATCACCTCTTGTTAATACACATTACCATGGGTTAGACCTACATAGCGAATCAAATTAGTTTCTTTTTCGTTTCCGAGCAAATTTCACTACAGGACGTACACACACATACGCATGCTTAGCGGAAAAGTTCAAAAGTTAGTAAAGTATAAGCTAATTAATGAAAATTAATGCAAAAAAAATATGTTATTAGATGAGAGAAAATTTGACACATAAGTAACAAGAATTCTGTACACCTCAAGTATTGTATTGTCCCCAGATACGCTTTTAATGTTGATTTCATTTAGATAAAAGGTTAGTGTGTTCGCTTATCTACGCTTACATATTCTGTTTGCTTTTAATTGCTTAAGGTTACTGAGAACTAACTGCAGTATCATAGTTAAGATATTAAAAATGTACTGCATGTGGTAACACTTGAAAAATGCTTAAAAATTCAATTTAAAACATTGAACTGCTTATCAAGTAAGTCATTAACTTTCAATGAGACAACACATGCAAGCATGTTTTTTCGCAGATCGACAGGCTTTTTACTTGGGATGCTTATAATTGATTACCAGGCAAATTTAAGGTATATGTAACAGTATAAGAATGGTATAATTTATAAATATATTAAATGCCATGGAAACTATTTTCTAATTCTATTTTTTGATTGAAAGCTGATTTAAAATAATAAAAAGTAAGCAATGAATATTTTGAATTATAATTTTTAAGTTTGAAAGCTCTACACAAACAGCATATTTTTAAGGTGCGAAACTGGTGTGAGTTGAACCCTTGTCACAGACACTAAGCTTAACATTATACAGTAGTCAAATAAATCAATTAAAGGTATTGAAGACAGACTTTCACAGAAAAAAGGAAAAACGTAATATTGCAAAACGTTACCACACTTTGTTGAATATTAAAAAAAAAAAAAAGAAATTGCGAGTAAAAATTAGTAACAAAAAATAACAGGTCATTGACTGGTAGGGTATTATTAACATAATTTTCCTGTTAGGAAAAAAAAAATCTTAATTATTTACGAATGTCTTTTGTAATCATTCATTTTTATGCACTTGCATTTAGATTCCCTACAAGAAGAATCAACATTTCCAACCATTTTTTTTAATGTAAAAAGCAATAGATTGTATCTGTAAAATAGTATTAATCATTAGTAGCATAGCATTTTATCACACAGTGTGTCCAAAATTAACATTTCTGTCATTAAATATAATTATCCTAAAGTTCTGGAAACACTGTAAAGTACAATGTGACAAATCTTTGTTTTGGCCATATATAGGCATGATGATGTCATACCACAGGTATTTGACACATCAAATTGGATAGTGTAGACTGGTATAGACCAAGCTTTAAAATACCAAAATGAAAAAAAAAAAAACATGTTTAATTTTTAAATCTCTTGGTTAATTTTTGAGAAGAAGGATGAGACTTCAATATTCATACAGAGTCATATATACCTTAGCTATGTAGGTACACAAAATATTGCTTATCAGGATGTTTCCATTTTTGCAGGATTTTCTTTGTAGTGTGATTTTATATATATATATTTAAATGTATAATTTATATATTAATTTGGTTATAATTATAATTAAAATCAACCTGCAAGTATTTAAATTCAATCGAATAGTTGTGATTCAATAACACTGTTACTGACTTCTTTGTATAATCCAACTATAAATATATCTATAAAGAAAATAATATTAACAACATAAATAATAAAAGCAATAAAAATTATTTTAGTTATTCATTCCTTGACTACCACATTTCGTCAAATAAACATGTAATTTTCTGCTTATTAAACAACAAATAAAATGCATATTTTTAAATGATATATACTCGCCCTCTTTGTACATAGTGGTACCATGGAGGGATATATTTCCTTCCTGGTGGTACACACACATGTTAGTGTTTAACTTGTCCACTTAATGTACCTTGGGACACGCATACACGCAGGATGTGTAACACGCCCAGTTATTGTAAATTCGGCTACAGACAGTATATCATATTCCACACATCCACTTTAACATATTCATACATATATCTTTTAAAAAAGATAATATACTATACCATGCATTTTATTCCACAAATTTCATGCACTGGTTACAACTATCTAACAAAACATTGTTATCAAGATGCTCTAGTTATATATTTTGGTTATACTGTATAAAATATCTCTACAAAATTTAATACATTACACATTTTAATTACATTATAGACAATTATCAAAATAGAAGCTTAAGATCTTTTAGATCAGATTTTGGCACAAATTCTGGAATTGCAAAAAATTTTAAGCAGATTTTAAATTTGGCAAAAAATGTTAGATTGCAAAGATATGAAAGCATTCCCCCTTTAATCGCTAAACATATCAGAATGGTGTTTATATAGTCAAGTGCTTGTTTTCTAGCACTATAAAAAGGTTTGGTTCACTCCTCTTTATGACCATGTTTCAGTTCAAAATTGCGATGTATGGAGCTGGTCAATACCATTTTTTTAGCACTTCTCTCCAGATAAAACTTAAGAAAAGCATTCAGATAGAATGTTGATACAATAAAACAGCTTGCATACAAACATCTGATATATTACTAATCATTATTAATTCACTTTTTCTCTCAGCATTCAATTCAATAAAAAAAGTTTTTTGGAAAAAGGATCTATTTACATATTTACAGTAACTTAATCCTGTTAAGCATTCTATCTTAGAATCCAATATGATACAAATATATTTCAGATATATGCTGATTCATCTATGTAATATTAATTGCTATAAAAAACCTCTATACTGAATCACAGATCTGTAGACTATCTGTGGGCCAATCAATGAAAGTTATACTTTCTAAACTTATTATTATGTTCTCCTATTCATTTGCAATTTTTTGTTAAAAAATCATTCATTATTGTTTCTTGTATAATGTTATTGCCATATCATGGTGCAGCCGTTTTTAAATTTCAACTGTTTTCACAAATTCTTCAACTTATTTACACACTTTAGAATTGTAGTTGTCACTTAGATTTTACCAATCCATATTGAAACAATCACAAAATTACTGAAATAAAACACATTATTTGAGCTAAAGTTCCATGAAAAGTTTGCTTACTTTTGTTAGTTGAAATATTAATCTAAGTAAAAAGGCTTTTGACCAGATTTTAGTATGTGCTCAAATGACTAATGATAATGAATGAATGATATCTGAGACTAAAAACATAGAATGAAGGTTTATGCCAATGGAATGCTCTCCAGCAACTTACTGGAAACTACTGTTAGCATGTTAACAAAATAAAATGTAAAATTGAATGAAAGTTTTATGACTATTTTCTAAGTAGTTAACTACAGGAGACAATCTATTTTAATCTTTGTGGATGGGAAGGGAAAACTGTAGGAGTACCAGCTGTGGACAAACGAGTAGATTCACTTCGCCTTGGGGGTAATGGTTTAGACTTTCTTGTTACTACTGCTGGTTTGCCTTGGGTAGGTTGGTGTGGTATTTGATTGTCAGTACCTTGTAATGAATTGTTAAGTTGTTCTAGGAACGGGGCATGTGTAATGCGTAGGGAGCCGCCTTTTAATGGTTTTGGTGATGTAACTGGTGGAGTTGCCTTTAAAGGAATTTGGGGTGGTGACGGTGTAGGGCATGGTTTTGGTGGTGATGGCGGTCTTCCTTTTTTTGATTGGGATGGTTTCGGTTGAGTTGTTGGTGGTGGTAGTGGTGTAGATACAGGAGATATCGTCTTGCTTGGTTTAGGAGATACTGGTAAAGTGTTTGGGTTATTTGGTAATAAACCATTATGTGGCTGATAATTAGTGCCTTTGCTTGGTTTTTGACTTACTAACGGAGGCTCTCTACTCGTGGGACTTGGGCATGAAGTCATAGTGGGAAATCTTGAATTTTGAAATGTAATGTCATCAACTGGTTCAGGTGGAGGAGGTGGCAATGATGGTGTTGAAATAAGAAGATTTTCTTGTGATAAACTTTGCAGAAGTGATGGTGGGGGTGGTGGAAAGTCATACATGGGGGATGCAGAACGAGTTGATGAAAGATTTGACATGGACGGCGGATTGGCTGGAGGATCAGGTAGTTGTACTGAAGGATTTGGTGGGGCTGGTGGGGGACTTGGAGGAGGTTTATTTTGTGGGGAAGGAGGTTTATTTTGAGGCAATGGAGGTTTCTTTTGTGGTGAAGGAGGTTTCTTTTTAGGGGAAGGAGGTTCCTTTTGTTGAGAAGGAGATTTTGGTGATGTTGAAGTTTGTGACATGGGGAGCTCAGGTGCTGGTTGCATTGGGACAACTGTCTTTAGAGAAGTGACCTTGGGTGGGAGAGGGTGAGTTGATTGTTTTGGAGGTTGAAAAGGCAGGACAGAAACTGATGAAGACACTGTTGACGGACCAGAATAATTTTCTTGATTTAGCTTTTTTGGAGGGAGGGAAGTGGACATTGTTGGCTTAGGTACTGGTACGGGTATCTGTTCATGTTCAGAATGAAATGCATGGGATGAGGTGTTAGTACTAGTTTCTGCTGCTACAGACGTCTGTAACCAAGGTGGTGTGTACACCGTGTTAGCTAGTGGAAGACTAGGTCGTCTGTCATGTGGACTAGTGAAGCTTTGGTTAGTTGATGAACGGGACATTTTCAATGAGCTACGCTGTGAGTTTGCAGTAATATTAGGTGAGTTAGGTAGCTCTACTCCACTAGCTGATTTACGATGCGCTGCTCGGGCGGTATGGGGTGATGTTATCTCTTCAGTGGATTCTTTAAACTGTACTCGTTTTGTTTCGCTTGAACTACGACTTTCACTAAAAGATGAGCTTCGGTTTGAGTATGTGCTAAGCCGAGTGCTGTCCATGCGTCTAGGGGGTACAGGAGCGGATTTGTTTTGTCCATGGAGAGGCTGGTTGTTTAAGTCTGCAGGTGTGTTCGACTTAGCTACATTTTGCGAAGAGGCACTTACATTAGAAGGTGGTTGTATATCCTGGAGGTTCAGGTCAAGTTCCATATCCCGTTCGAGCTGCAGAAGCTGTTGCTGGACATCAAAGTCAAACGTTTCACCATTTGACTTCACCACCTTTGGTGTCACCAGAGGTGGTCTTGTATGCCCTTTATCATCCTGTCAAAATGTGATCAAAAATATCAAATTAGATATTGCAGCAAGTTTACCTGATTTCTGGTAGCAGTTAAACAATTTCAGTTATATTGTAACAAAATATTTCTTGCAAGAGTCAAATTAAATGGCTAAATTTAAAATGTTGACTGCCACAGGAATTTGCAAGGCAGGTACAAATTATATCGTAGGACAAATATTTGCCTATATTTGAGTGTGATAACAACTGACAGATGAGAGCTTGTTACGCTGACTGGGCTAGCAGTATATTTAAGTTACACAATAAAGACAATTTTTTGGAATGAATAATAATTCAATGGACTTCATCAATCATTGTTTGATTTTCAGTTTCGAATGTACAAAGTAAATACATTTTTTTAAATGAATGATCATTAAATAAATTTCACTGCTTGTTGTTCGATCTTTAGTTTCAAATGTACCAAATTAAAAGTAAATACACTTTTGAATGAATAAAAATTAATCAAATAATCTTTGGGGTTCATTGTTGGATCTTCAGTTTTTGTTTGATTTTCTGTTTCAAGTTTACAAATTAAGAGTAAATAAACTTTTAATGAACAATAATTAATTAGACTTCATGTTTCATTGTTTATTCTTCAGTATTAAGTGTACAAATTCTAGTTTTCATTGTGAGTTTGTGTCTTTGTTCTCTATCCATGTGTAATCTAAATGTGTAATCTGTTAATAAGAAAGTATAATACATACTCCAAGTATTGAAATACACGCCATCGTGTTAATGTTCTATAATCTGTTAATGTTCTATAATTCTAAAGAAAAGGATCTCTTGTCCCGTCTCCAGTACATTTTTTATTCTTGATAAGGAAAATCTTATTGACATATATTCTTTATTTTTTTTACTGATGAAACTGCCAAGATTGAATAATATTATTTGTTTCAATTTGCCTCTTGTATATTTACTTGTTTTTGTTTCAGGTTACTCTTTGCAAGTGGCAAGTTTCTGCTTTGAATGAGAATATAATAATTATAAATTAATAATAACTTATAATTTTCTTTTGCTTACCTCTTCTGTAGACATATTCATGGAATTCCTTGATATTCTCTTTGTCTGTAAAGAAAGATTTCATGTGAATGAAAATTAACAGAACCAATTTTAAAATTTAAGGGAACAATATGTTTTTTTTCACACAAATACAATCATCTTGATGGACTTCCAAAAGAGACAATACTCTATTTTTCGAAAAGAGAAAATACATTTTTTCTTTTCAAACTAACTTTGCAATACAAATGTAAAATTTTGGTTCAGAATTGGCGCTCTTTGGTTACAATAGTCACAATACCTTCTTTAAACACAATTTATATTTTCTTATGATGCAATACAAATGCATACAATGTGGTTTGAAATGGGAGAACTGTGTTTGAATCCCAATGGAATGTTTTTCTAAAAAAACAATTAGTGTCTTTAGTATGTTGAAATACTCAATTATATTATTTTTATGATAATACTTTTTAATCATATCGTTATTAATTATATGTCATTTCTATTACATGGTTGAACAAGTATTATCTTCATTTATATTAAACTATAAATGTAAATAATTATGAATTAGTTAAACAACCTCTTCCACTTCTTTGCCTTTCTTCCATGCTTGAGAGAAGATATCTCCCATTTGAGATCGTCGATTAATTCTTGATTGGATTCCAGATCCTCCAGAAGAGGCAGAGCCTATCAAAACAAATCAAAATTAATCATTCATAACATTGAAAATAATACAGTAATCTTAAACAAAGATTAAGAAGTTAATATAATTAAATGCAATGCATCATCAAAAGTGAACACATTATCATCAGATAATAATTCATTTAATTAATTGATAAATAAATTTAATATTATTTTAATTCTTTCTCATCAACCAGTAACTACCAACTTACAGAGTGGTAAAGTCACCATATGCAACATCACTGTATGCAGGACAGATTACAGTGCTTTTGGCCTATTGACTGAATGGGTTAGGTGGAGTTAGGAGGTAAAAAGTAGTTTAGAGTGACCTTAGGCAAAAGGTGCTTAATACAAGAGTTGGTTCATTAGTACAGTTGTGATTTTACCTTGAGAGCTGACAGTGGCAATTGATTGGTCGCTTGATAAGCTGGATGTATCACCAAGACTCGTCTCGGAAGCTGTGTCCTGATTTTTCATGAATTTATGCATATCTCGCTGACTCTCTTCAAAGTTTTTCAGTAAGTTTTTTCCATACTACAAATAAATTATATATAATTGTAATTATGTATAATTGTAAATATATCTTAATTACATTTTATACATAAAATACACGGCACCACGAGATATGACCAATGGAATGATGCAGCATTTTTTAGGAGGTAGTACACCTCTTTGTCTACAAACATTTTGCGTAGATTCGTGAGGGTGCACTTCAACCCTTACATAAGGATAGGCTAATTTGAGTTTTAGTATGTAAAATATACACTTTGATAATCAAATGATTGAGTTCTAGGTTAACATCCTCTCACAATGAAGCACTTTTCTCAAGACATCACCGCTAAGCCTCCCTAGCATCACTTCTAATCTGTGACAAGTAACTTGCCTTTATATGAACATTATTTTTTTGAAATTAATATCAATATTATCTGAATAATTATTTCAGTATTTACCTTTGCAATTCTGATACCAGTCATCCACCTTTGACAAGTTCTGTAGTCTTCTGCACAAATGTACTTAATATACTTGGATTTCTGCTGTATTTGTGGATGCTAATGAAGGCAACCAATCATAAAAACAGAATTACAAAACCATAATAAAAAAAATATTTAAAAAAACAGGCAAAGAATACACATGTTGATATATGACAAATTTTATTTATTTTTTATCCATATAGAATATACTTAGTAAATTCTTAAAAAGTTCTTAAAAATGTATACAAAAATATAATCCAAAATCCATTCAAATTGCCTCACAATGGTGAGGGAAAAAACATGACAATATTATATTTGAAAACTAAATGAGAAAACGAGTACAAACTTTATCAAATGAGTACATACTTTTAAAGCAAAGCAAAAATCTGTTGGAGACTTGTATTTCTTTTTCCATCCAACTCCACTGTAGACTTCAACATGTTCAAATTGCACTAGACACACAAGATCTTTAGAAACCTGTTAAAACATATGTATGTAAAAAAAAAACCAATTATACAGGCTGATTTAGGAATGTCCACATCCACTCCTCTCACACTGCCCTGGCAGCAGCTAAAAAATCTCCAACCAAGTATAAAAGTGGCTGTAACTCTGGAGCTCCAAGAAGGCATAGCCATCTGGGCCCACAATAGAAAAGGTATTCCCAACCTACTCCATTAAAGCCCCCTCCCTTCCACTTCTAGTTTGCCACTCATGCCTCCCAGCAAAAATATCTTTATCTGCCACTGCATTCAAACATTTTATGACTATTTCAGTCCTAAAATGAGCAATTCCAATTTTTAATTGTTTTTTGATTATGCATTTACAGACTTTATGATATACAATATATATTTAATAGCTTTCATTTTGTTTTATCAAAAGATCCATTTTTATTTTAAGACCAGTAAAACATCTATGTATAGTCCTGAAGCATTTCAGTGTAATTAGTGGTACCCAAAATATTACTCACTAGAAATATAACATCCACCTTATTTATGAAAAATTAATGATATTTTGAGAGGCAGCTTGTTAAAAGGATCACAAAGACAGTTAGGATTCTTAATACATGATTTAAAAAAATGATAGGGATAGATACCAATACTGATCGGGAAACAGAAGAGTTACAAGTACTTATAGTGTCAGATATCGGCGCTATTTTAAAATACACCTTTTTCAAATAGCAGCCTCACTGCCTGATATGTAACAATTGTATGATTTTATCCTTACCTTTGATTTACCTTTCGGTGAGTAATACAGACCAGATGCGCGCAAAACAAAATAATGTTTCTTCCAGGACTTCTTGCCTTCTGATTTAAGGAGCAAAGGACCCTCAAGCTCCGGCACCCTAGTTCCGGACCCAAGGAAGAACTCATCTACTAATGTCTTTTTTGACTTTTCTGCAAATTCAGTTGCAAATTGTGATGTGTTGAGAGACAATAGATAATGCTAAAAAACAAAAATATGTAAAACAGATAAACAAATGCTGATATTTTTTAATTTACCTACCTATTTACATATTAGTATGCACTGTTTGACAGCCTTTTTGAGTCAGCCTTGCTGCAAGAGCCCCCTTGTGAAATATCGTTGAATGAATAAATAAACATAATTTGTCTTCACTGAAAATGGCAACTTAGATTGTCATTTGTGATTGTACAAACAGAACATAATATCAGTTACTGTATTTTTTTTTTTTTTTGCAGTGACATGTATTAATATTATTATAGTAAAGTATATCAATGAATAAGGTCATTTAAAATACTAATAATTAAGTAGACGATTCAAATGAAACACATACCAATATCATCCCTTCACTTTTTAATCAAAATACATTCATGCAATTATAAAATGTTACACAATTGGTGGGGTGACTCAAATTAATCAAAATACAGTAAACACTGTTGTTTTTCATACTTGTCATCAGCAAAAACAAACAAGAATGTATTTAAATCCAATTTTATGATTCATTGGGTATTTCTCAATCAAAACTTGGACAGATTAGTTACTTTAAAAATTGTAAATAAATAACAACTTGAAAACAAAATCCATGATGCGTTACCTGAGGATTTTTGAACAATGCATATTTCTCGCGTCTTTCTGAGAACATAATCCTGTTGTTGGTATCGCGGGCCCAATTTAATAGCACGTCTGTCACCACATTCTCATCATCTTCTAAAAGTCTTTCTGTAATACAAATACAAAATAAAATTTAATATTGTTATGCTTTAACATAAAATCCACCACTTCCTAAATTTTAATAACTATCCATGTCCGGACAATCAAAAAGTGAATATAATATTGATTAACACTGTAGTATAACTATTATCAATATTATTGTATATATTATTTTCATTACTATTTTATTAATAATTTACATAGGTGTATGTTTGATAATTGTGTTATATGTAATTATTTTCACTTTGTATTCTTTCTTGAGAACTCTTTCAAAATAGCAAAAATGAATACAAATGCTGGTGGTTTTTTCATTTTGCACGGTTCCTGAATTTAGAGATCTGGATTTGTGATTTAATTCCATTCAATTTTATTGCGTGCTCCAAATGCCATCAAGGCTTACAGTAGGTATATATTTATCTTTACGATTATTTATTGAATTTTTTTGTTAAAGGTATTTTCAAACGAAGGTCTAAAGACACTAAACCAATGGAGGTTTTTTTTTTAATGCAGTTCCTTGGCAAACATACTTCATCTAGACTATGGTATCAGAGCAAACTAAAGTGTTTATTTAGTACATTACTACAAAAAAGTTGTAGCATCACCAGCAAATGACATTCTTGTACTTGTCCTGATCAGATCAAAATTGACTCAATCATTTCTATCAATCATTAACAATTGAATTAATAACATGTTCATTGAAAAGGGAAATAAAAACCACATGGTAAATCTCACTGACCCATATAAAGATCTGGCATCTGTTCAACAAGTGCCCAGTTAGGTCCCCCTTCAAAGTGGTTTTTTTCAATCATCATCTGAACGATGTTGCGTGTGTTCATGGTTTCGTCAACGAATACTGTTTTGGAGCTGCCATCATCTGTGTGTACTTTGATTATTAACTGAAATAACAAAAAAAATGTTACGGTAGTACAGCAGTACATAGTTTAAATGGCATACAGTATCTAGGTTTAGGCAACAAAAAACAAATTCTGTTTTGGAGCTGCCATCATCTGTGTGTACTTTGATTATTAACTGAAATAACAGGAAAAATGATACCATAGTACAGTACATAGTTTAAATGACATATCAGGGTTTAAGCAACAAAAAACAGGATATAATAACATTTAAAAGCAAGTCTACATACAGTAATGTTAACTGTTAAAAATATACTCTTTGTTGTGAACTCTAAAAGCAACTAAAACATTGTTGCTCATTTGAAAGGATCAAATAAGTTATTTATTACCCATTATGACAATCAAAACCCATCAAAACAATTCTATTGTCACTCACTTACAAAAAAATCTGAAAAAAATTATTATCGACCAATTTAAGAAACCTTTGCAAAGAGAGAAACTTTTTATTGTAATTTTATATTTAAATACACAAAGACAGGATATAAAAAGTTATGAATAATATTCTTTGTTTATCAGTATTGCCTGTATTTCCAAGAATATTACTTGCAGCACAATGAATTTGAAAATCTGCTAACTATTTATGAGTAGTTTCATAATTAAAAACTAATGTTCAAATGTATCAAATTATAAATGATACAAAGCACCATTGTATAAAGATTACTTTATAATTAGGAAAATGTTAGTTTAGAACAATACAAATTAAAGTTTCCCATTTTATATTTCAATTTTAGTCATACTTTTACTTGAAAGTTATTTTAACATATAGCAAGAAAATTATATATTAAATAATATATTTTCCACATTTATTAGCTCAACATCTTTAAAGTTTAGAGTTCAATATTTATTTGTGACATTTTCAATTTGATTTCTTGGGCAATAATTTCAATTTATGAACACATTATACATTACAAGTACAATATACAGGTATTAGGAATATTTTTGTTTTATATATATTACTGTGTTAACATGTTGTCTTGTGATGTGCCCTTTGATTAAAAAAATTATAAGGAAAAAGAATTATTTTTCAAAGTATACTAAAAACACTGAAACTGAAAAAAATAATAATTATTTATGAGTAGTTTCATGATCACAAATTAATGTTAAAATGTATCAATTCATAACGCATCACGCAACACGAGAACAAAACATAATTTAACAAAGATTACTCCAGTAATTGAAGAAAAAGACACAAAACATTTAGTTACTGTAGAACAATACAAATCAGTTTCCCATCAAAATGTCAATTCATTTCAAGGACGACTGAATGAAACTTAAAATTAAATATTCTGTCCAAAATGTAATTTGCATAACAATAGTATCTCCTTTGCGTGAACCAACCTTTTTCACTCTAGCCGCCTTGAGCTTTTCAAGTGCTATTCGTACTTTTTCAGCTTTTATACGTGCCACTTTTTCCTCCTCACTCAGCGTCTCGTCATTGTGGAGGTCCAACTCAAGATCTTTAAGTTTCACACGAACACTTTTTGAAATCTGAAGAGGTAATTCGGTTGCTGAGTACCTTATAGAATCAATAGTTCACACTTTTCCCAGAAACATGGATTCATCATTCTTATTGATTACATTTGGTTTTAATCCAGATAATTTCACAGTTTTTATCCAAATAATCTCACAAATATTTCTGTACACAATATTAAGTATGAAACGATTTAGGAAATAATAGATGGTATGCATTTCAAGATATTGTTGTCACAGTTAGAATATTACATTATTATCTGATTTTATGCCAAATTATCATAGAGTAACCATTGTTTCTTTTATATATATAAGATGTATTGTCCCCTAAAAATAACTACAAAATCAAAAAACCAAATTTTGAAATTAAATTAACTTGCTCATTTTGCAGAAACATACAAATTATTAACTTTAGCATAGAAATTATTGAAATTTAAAAAATGTGTACCCTGATTATTATACTGGATAGTTATAATAAAAATAATAAAACATTCCAATGACTGGAAGTGTTTCTATCATTTTTTGCAGTAAAACTATGGATAAACATTTTCTAAATACATTAATTTCTATGTTCAAGTTGATAATTTCTATTTCAATTCAAAATAACGAAGTTAATTTCAAAACTTCATTTGATTTTTATGAATTTTGAATAGGACATTACATCTTTAAAGAAAATAAGTGTTCATGTATATTTCTATGTTGAGACAAGATGACTTACATTAGCTGGTGGAGGCGAGAAATTTGGCGAGGTAGATAAGGAAGACATAGATTGCTGGGAATGACCGACACCAAGATTTAAATTTAAATTAGATGGGGGCATTGTTCCATTCATCTTTGTTGTCTTCTTAACATCATCAGTAGGAGGGCTAGGTACCCCAAAGTTTCCAGGGGATGCCGGTTCTGTAGTGATCTCAATAGGAAACTGTGGAATACTTGCAGTAAGATCCTCCAACGAGGCCTCCAATGAGGTGACTACTTTTCCAGGTGGCGGTAGTAACATATCAGGCGGTGGTAACATATCAGGCGGTGGTAACATATCAGGCGGTGGAGGTGGGAGATCGTCCATAGGTAGAACGTTAAAGTCACCCACCGCACTTTGCGTTGGGGGTGGGGGTGGCATGTCCGTATTAAAATCTGATTCTGTGGAATCTATTGACGGTGTTGTGAAATCTATTGATGACGTCAACAAGTTGGTGTCACTGATGTTACTTTGAGGAGCATTTGTAGTAATTGTCTCATTGTTTGTGCTGCCTTTATTGGCCTGAACATCCATATCCATCTGTAAAGTCTGTTCCATTTCACAAAGGTCACCAAGAAGTGCATCAAGGTCAATATCTTGTGTTTCTACAACAAGAAGCAACATTATTTTGATAAAAAGATCTTTAATTAGTGATCAATGGTATAAACAGGCAGGACCTACTACTGTCTATTGCATATTTAAGTTATTATGCTATATGGCACAAAGAGCAGAGTTGTAGCTTGCAACTTGTAAAGATGCTTGCCTTCAAATTACAAATTCCTGGGTTCAAATCCTGAGAGCACCATGATTTTTTGTCTCACAATTACAGATAATTCCACTTGATAAGCTTCATTTAGAGACTTAATGGACATTTCCATTGTGTCAATCAAACATGATAACCATCCAATAAGAATACTAATAATACATGCATGTCCTCCAAAAAATTCCAGAGTATATGTATACTTATGGTGTCATTTTATGGAACCCTTAGAAACAATAATGAAAGGGCATAGCTTAAAGTAATGGTTAATTTATAAAGTAATATGTAGTTTATTCCAGTGAAGTATCTCTCACTGTTGAATAAGAAACAAATTTGAAATATAAAAATAAACCCAGAAATGAAGTCCTAGTCAGCGGATAAAGTGATTTACTGTGTTTGCAATAATAGACATCAAGTGCACAAATCCCAATGGGGTTTGTTGATTGTCTTTATATTCCATCCTTTACTAATGTTGGGATTAAGCTGGATTGTCTTTGAAGCCTGTGGCATGCCACTATCATCAGATTTCATTAAAGAAATTAAAATAAGAAATTATTTAAATTTAAATAATAATATTGTCTTATATTCTTTGCTTTGTCCTTTAAATTTTATATTATTAGTAACACTCTACCTTTGTAAAACAATATAGCAAACATCAATTAAAAATTTCATACTGTACTATATATCTAAATTAGTTCTTAGTTGTTTAAGGGAAATTTGTTCTGTATAATAATACAAGTACCAAATAGTTCTCAAGTGGAAATTTATGTTTTCACATGATTGTAAAATAAGTATGAAAGTAAAAACCAAACCAAATTTTATATCAATCAAAGAATAGTCTACTGATATATTGTTTTTGATAGTACTTGGGCCTAAAGAAGGAAATATCGACTAAATCAATCCCCAGTTGCCTGTAGCGATACATACAGACATATCTGCCACCCTACCATCAAATTCAATTAACCATTACTTAAATCTAAGCTTAAAATAACAGATGATTGATGTATGACAGTGGCATCCGGTAAAACCACTCTGTGGGTTCAACTTCAATAGCGCTAGAACTGAAAGTACTCATAAACCACAATCATAACATACCAAGCAATATGGCATTAACGTTTTACTCAACCTCTCCTTTTTTTATACGGCCTCTTCCTCAAGAGCTTCATAAAGCATTTTAATCTGCCTGTAATATCAACAGCATGCATCCTGTCCTCTTATTTGCGGATGTTGTATGAGTTTTGATGAATTTTGTTAATGGGAGGTATATGAGAGGTATCAATGGTAGAGGGTGAAAAATGATGTGTGCGAATGCAGCTGATAGTTGCCATGGGAACCCAAACTGTTCACACAAGCTTGGCAGGTTTTAAAGAAAATACTACTGCTTAACTTTGGTATTGATTATGTCATAGACTTAAATGTCATTCCATGCATATTTCTGTGCAGGAGATGGATTAAGAAACACCAAACTATTTAAAATGGTAAACATTCAATAAATCAATAATAAGCCTACATAAAACACAATTGAAATCTTATTTTCCTTTGAACTTCTTTCTGTAAATTACGTCAAGTATAACTGATGATCTAATTTATTTTTTGTTGTGAGAAAAAAAATTTCAGTGTTTCCATTGGACCTAGAAATAGGATGCAAAACATTTTACACTACAAATTCGCAACTCAAAATATGAATATTCATTAACAAAATTAATTTAAAGAAAATAAACATTCATAATAACAAAAAAATTTATCCAACAAAAATATCTGTAATTAATTAAGAAATAATAAACATTAATTACACAAAATTTTCAATTCAACAAAATACATAATAAAACAAAATATTTATAACAAAACTAGTGTACCTGTACATATAAAATAAAATATTCATGAAAAAAAAAAACATTAAAAAATCTAAACATTCATTCAAAAATATATTTAAAATGAATATTCATAAATTTATATAAATATTCATTACTGTTTAATCATGTGTAAATATGCCTGAATTCTTGTACTTGATTCATTATCATTTTCTGCATCAATACTCAGGGAGTACAAACCCCTCGGAGGACTATTAATAACAGACTGCCTTGATCCAACTGCAAAGCACTATGGAATAGCCATAATTATTTGAACACAGGCCAAGCATTAGATAAAATTACTTTACAGCCTTTTACCTAGCACTTTATGACACTAATTGATCATAATTTCCATATAAAAATAATGCCAAATTAACAAATTAATCAAGATTCTGGCTGGATTGGGGGAAAATGCATTACAGTATAATTGGGCTCCATTTTTCATAATCTATTTCAGTAGAGAAACTTCAAATGTTGACAGTCACAACTGAGGTGGGAGGGAGTGGGTTGCGGTTACAGGCCAAGATTCCTCCTGATTAGTTATTGGAGTATTCTGTACTAAACACATTAGTATTTCTGTATGTCATGCCCAAGTAGTAAAATAGAAACTTTTACTCTGAATATAAACAAAATAATCTAATTCAAAATCAAAATGACATTGCAAGCAAGCAACACACAGTTCTAAATGATAGAAGGAATTAGTTGTTGCAATGAAAATCAACAAAAAAAACACAATTAAAAAAAAAAAAAAAAAAAAAAACCAATTATAAATTTGAGGAAGAAAACCACCACTATAAAGATTATAACCCCTGATAGGTTTTAAACTTTAACACTATAATTCAATATCAAAATTGCTTCCGATAGATATATTTTAGTTACAAATACAGTATTATCTATCACTTTAAAATCAGAAAGGGGGAAAATGTTTTCTTGTAAACTAATAATAGACACATAATAATATAATATATTCCTATAATTCATTGCACAGACCATTTAATTTGGTTGGCAGATATAAGTATATAAGTATACAAGTATACATTTTGGAAATTTTGATTGAAGGCTGTAAAACAGGAAAAAATGAATTATTTTGGTCTGTTTTCTCACAAAAAAATATTTCCTCCATGTTGAAATTTACTTGATCATGAGCATTTTATTGTAAATTAAAACTTTTCAGACCTTTATCACAACATATAGTATATAAAATTACCATAATGTTACTGAATATAATAATACTATAACTAAAAACTAACTTTAAGTATAATAAAATTATGATAAAAGGGCAATTAATTTGACAACATAGTGTATACCAAACGAAAGCACCAAATCAGAAACATTTTTTTTTAAATTTTAAAGTATACAGTTGTTCTTCTTACTATACAGATTTTGCAAAAAATAGATACTGTATATATCTAAAATGTTTTCTTTTATTCTTTTCTATAGATTTTCATTTGTCCTGCAACTTTATTCTAACACAAACAGAATATTTTGAAAAACATGAACAGTAAAAATGCAAGCATTAGTAAAATGAAAAGAAAAATGCATTACAAGAGGCATTAATGCAACAGGGAAAAGAAGAATGTATGCGAATGCATGAAGCATAGATGCACATTACAAGGGATGGATGGAGGATGCTGCAGGTAGCAATTAAACACAATTAGCATGACAAGCGGTGCTCGGTTACCTTCTAGTCTTGACGAGGTGCATGAAAACGGTCCTGTAGCTGCTTTGCAAAATAATAAATATAAAAAAAAATATATGTCTAGATGATATTGAATGTGATCAAGGCAAAAGAACGTCAAACTTAAAATACATGCAATGCGTAAAATAAAAAATAATATGGAGCACCACGTTTCACCTGGACATGCAAGCCTAATAGGATGACTGGCATCTCCCACGGCAACCAAACTCATAGCTTGCATTGAAAATAAAATATTTGTGCAAAACTAAAAATTTGTTTACAGAAAACCAATTTCTTTGATTATTATTAAAGAATAGGTTAACAGGTAGACTAAAAATAGTTAATGCAGGAAGTATTTTAATGATATTCAAAATCTTTATAATATTACTGTGTTAATACTGTACCTGTACTAATATTTTTTATAGCTACAGTATTTGTTTTTTTCTTGTTTTTTATCCACAATTTGTAAAAATTTCCCCATAGAAGCCATCACAATACTTGCAAACATAATTTTAAAAAAAGCATGTTTCTTGTCTAAGACTTTTTTCCATAAAAAGGAGAATAAGGCCATTTTTTTTTTTAACCTTAATGATGAAACCCCCAACATCCCGCCACAAACACAGTGTAGGCCTTGGCCAAGTAAAACATCAAAATAGATCGCTAATTTTTACAAAATGTTAGATTCTATTATGAAATTAATAGTTTAGTTCCTTTGCCAAATGCATTTAAAATAAGCCACTCTTATAATTAATGGCCTTCAACATGGGCTAGGCCACATTGATTAGCTCTGCTCTAACAATAGCTTTATTGGGAGATGTGGCCTGTGTGTTGTATCTTGTCACCAGATAAACCACCAAGGACTCTAGCCAAGAGCAAAGCATCTCAACACTAGCAGAACCATGTCATACCCATTGAATTGAGAGATCAATTATGCAAACTCTATTAAAGCTAGGGCCAAATATAAAGAGCAATTCCAACATTATTTTGTATTAAAAGTGTGTCAATTTAAATAAAAATCATTTAACAGAAATTATTATGTACACACTACAGTATTATTAAAACAAACCACCACCTTCTTTTGATGTACTCTGAAATCTATTTTAATTTTCACATACAAACAAAATCATAGTATGGCTGCCTCCCATATTATTTTTAGGGCCATCGTCAATAGGCATTAACCAAGAAAATCATCCATAGGTCGAAGCTCATAATCCATGCGTATGTAAAGTACAGTATGTGTATGCCAGAAAATGTGCAGGGTGAAACAAGTTGTTAAAGGTTTACACTATTATCCTTTTTCTTAAAAAAAAAAATAAATTAGACAAGAAACATGTGCTGATTTTGCCATAAAAAAAAGATGTAAAGATGATTGATTATATTATAATACTGAGGCTTCAGGAATTCTGCTAGCTGTTTAATGAAGCTACACAGCAAACAAGAGGTTATATAAAACACTGGAGGAATAATAATATTAAAGGATGTTTAATTATTAGATGATGCCTTATAAAAAATGAAGTACAGCAGAGCCTGATTACATTAATGTGCAAGTCGGGTGTCTTTGCATGTGAACTGTTGTTAATAACCTACTGTAATTATGCGAGCAACTTGCAGTTTGTCAGCCCCATGTGTTTTAAACAATTATATTTGTTAGGAAAGCAGCAATTTTGTAATATCATTAATATTTTTAGCAGTTGATACTTTGAAAAAGAACCCCAAAAAACACTTACTTTCAAGATTGGTGTATGATAATTGGAACAGATCTAGATTGTTCTTTGGTGGAGCTGGAGCTTGTGGGACATCTGGTTTGACCTGAATAAGGTCACTGTCCAAACTCTAGAGAGAGAAAAATATGTTAGTTATCATTTTGCATAAAGTTATATAAACTCAAATAGTAGTGTTGAAAGCTTGTTAATTGCCGGTTAAACCTTTTATTCCACCACCAGTCTGAAATGGCTCATACTGTACGATGTCCACATTATATATGCTCATCATAGTAAAATTAACTGTTATGTCAACCCTCGATGCAAATACAGTGTAAGACATCAAATTACCAATTACTACCACCTGATTTCTATCAATCAATTTGTTACACTTTTGTTAATGCATTAAAATATAAATAGAATTCAATGTAAATGATATATAAATATTAAGATATTCATTTTTTTTAACCTATCCTATTTCTTGAGGATATCGGGTCCTCATTTTATGACAATATAAAAACCAGGAACAAATATAAAGTTTAACAGCTTACAGAAAAAAGCATAAACACGTCAACGATTGACCTCAGACGTCCAGGTAACCCTTATAATTTGTGTTTTTCTTGGTTGGTTTTAAAGAAAATGTCAATTATCATTTGACAACCAGATGACATCTTTTGAGAACATGTTGTTTTGAAAAAAATTAAATAATTCACATCATTATCATCATCAACACAATTAGCTGGTTTCTAGTCTTTTTGTAATTTTTGTCTTCAACTTTTAAACATTTGACAGACAGGGCAGTTAATATAACAATGCTGTGTACAATAATCTCCCCATCCTCTTACATCCAAAACAACCAAAATCTTCTACTTAATATTTAACAAGGTCCAAAATCAATGTAAAAAGGCAATTAGTCGGTTTATCCAGGTAAGTATTCACGAAGTAGACGCTGTTAGCAATGAATCAGAAATGTAAAGAGATGACAGTTTCTAAAATGATAAACATTCGACCAATCGGATATTATGATGAATATGTTGTTATCCAAGCAGCTAACATAATTAAGATTCCAGGAAATCTATTTATATCTGCTAGGATATACAAGCCTTCCTACAGTACTGTACATCACATCTTGTCACTCAACTTGTAATAAATTCTTATTAAAGCGGGAAGCACATGACTGACCGGACGTCCTTCGTGCATCATAAACTGTCAGTGTGTTTTACCTTAGAAAAATATAAGCCAGCTAAAATATGACAATGTTTATAACAACCAAAAACACTGTCATAGCCTCCTTCATTACACAACTTACCTGTGTGACGCTTTCCAGTTCTCCGAGCCAGGAATGGAGCATCTTGTCCAAATCTTGCTCCTGGTCGCTGTCAACTTCCACATCCATCTCGTCTGCCGAGTAGTCGTAGGGCGTATCTACAAAATCCTGATTCTCAGCCCTGGTAGGAAAGCAAACAAATCAAACCATGAACAATTTAAACAAAATATGCTTTTTTTTACACATATGGGATTGATTAATCATAATGTTTCATTTCCAAGTATCACATATTTTTTTTCTCCCCTATAATATGATCCTTCCAATCAGGTACATGGTTTAATAATGAGAAACACCACAGTATATGACAAGTGATGCTCAACATCAACAATGAAACTTTGAGGTACAGTATTTTACTGTTATTACACAATAAAGTTTCCATTGCTGTAAAAAGGACATCAAGATAACATACAAAAAAACATTCCTAAAAAAATGAGGTTTACTGTACTTTCTATACATCTTTCAGCATACTTATTGCCTGTAGAATTTGCTATTATTAAATAAATTAAAATCTCCTATTATAGATAAATACTGTAACTATTATAATTTTTATGTAAATACTTTGCTGCTAACTGTAACATTAAAATTGAATTACATTGGAAAATATATATTTTGTCAAAGCATATTCCAAAATAGAATATTGATGAGAGTACTGTACAATTAAAAGACTGCACAAAGTGTGAAAAACACCATTATAAAAGCAGTCAAGAATACTTCCATATTATTGTACTTCAGTGCAATAGGGTAAATGTTTCAGGAAAGATCTAACAATACAAGGGAAATGAACTTAAGGGAATGCTCACTGGTACAATAAACTTTAACATATGTTGCAGCAATTGTAATTGTGAAACATCCACACTTCACCAGTTTAACAAGTTATTCATTATTAAAAGTGAAAGCCACCACAAAAGACAAGACAAGGGTAACAGTTAGAAAAGGTAATCTTGTTGTATGGCACAAAAAATAAATAAGTTTAAAAATAAACACATGGTTTTACACATAGTCATGCAACATTTATGAAAGAACTAGTAGTGTGGTAGTGAAAAAAATCTATATTAGCTTCCTTTATACAAAATAAGCTGGAGATGTGTGCATTTGCGAGAGACTTTTGCTTGCTCCCGGGAGTGCGGGAGACCGTACTGATTACTGGGAGACTCCTGCGAATTCCGGAAGACTTGGGACCCTTGCTAGCATGGTTACTACAGTGTAGTCCTAAGCCAACAACTCAGTGTTGTCCAACTCTTTGGATTATACAGTACTACAGTATGCACATTTGTATTAATGTCATTACCAAATGAACTTTCAACACAGAAGTACCATGGAGGTATAAAATAAACCTCCATGGAAGTACCACCCATGAAATAATGGTAGGTAATTAATACCTTCTTTCTCTCCATAAGCTTGGTTTTCATACAATTGCTACATACTGTACTATCGCCGACAGCTTTTGGTGATGCTGATTGGTCGGTCCAAACTGCGTCGGGGATTGCTATGCTGTACAACAACTGCACTGAAAACACTGAACAGTTGCAACAGTGTAGCGATTTTAAGGAAACTAGGTCTAAATTACTATAAAATCAAGTAACTATATTTACTGATAAGATTTATTTCCAATATTATTAACAGTAATAAATTTTACATTCAAAGTATTGTCAGGTAGGTACATTATATACTCACTGTGTTCAAATAATAAAATAGTGTTCAATTTAATATTCCATTCATCACCGACGTATTATAGACGCCAACAGTATAAAAAATCCTATCGCAGATTATTTTAACGTGTGATGCAAACTTTCGATTGTTGGGTAATTATTAGTAAAACAAGAACTCCAGTTTACAGAATAGAAATAATATCTGCATTATTGTTATGACACTGCATATGCACAAATACAAACTCCAGCAGAATATATCCAGTAATAGCTTATAATCCCAAAATCTGTTAGAAAAACAGACTGTCAGAGAACAATTTAATGGTAAACTGTTTGGTGACTGACAGACTTGGCAATGAAAGATTGAATTCACTGTAGTGTAGAAGAGAGGATCTCTGTGTTATAAATGCTAGGAATTCCTCTCATGTGCCTTAAGAATACTTATCTTTAATATAAAGGACTTTAGTCATTGGGCTATACCATTCAGTATAGTAGGGGTCAACAAATAATCTAGGCCAAGAACTCATTGATCAGAGGCTGATTGAACAATTGCAACATTGTGGGATAACAGTATGTTAATTATTTGCAGGTGGATGTGAAAAACCTGCACAATAGACTACATTACACCATGAGTCACTCCTATCCAAAAGGTAATGATTAAAATTATCGCAGTGTAACATCATAAAAGGCAGTAAGTAATTCAATCTACAGTATGACAACTGATCACAAGAAAATATCTATTAACGAGATATAATTTTCATAATCACTACAATTTACAAGAACAATGCTTACAAGGATACAGGCATTTATTCTACTTTTTGTGATCTCCACATATTTATTAAATTATATGTGTACAATAGATGAATTGGTATTGTGAGATTAGCATACTTATCATAGTATTTGTGTACTGTAGTAATTATGTAATTATTATGTACTGAATGTGATCTGGACACACCTTTTTTTTTTAAAAGTGTGTCACTGCTGTAAATCCAAATAAATACTTATTATACCAAATGACAGTGCCTTACGCAAAATGACATTGTTTCAAGATATTCTAATTAATTAAATTTAATTAATCCTTATTAATAATTACTGATTATTATAATGCATAAACCTTAAAGCCACTACATACTGTACATTAAATTTCAATATCTATAAATAAATCTAAAATGGAAAATATCAAATACAGTAGCTGAAAGTAACTTTGATTTTACTTATTATTTAATGCGTATTACACACTACTTTGAGAAAAAAAAAAATCATACTCGGATAATCTAAGGGTGTATACCACTTGGCTGGTAGAGTATCCGAACAGTAATCGGAAGGTATTGGGTTCGAATTCCAATGGGGAAATGTGCTTTCTAAAATATTTATTAACATCAAATAGCTGGTACATCATATAATATATGGGACAGGACTATACAACTGTGGACATTGTACTGTATTGGAAATAATGACAACAAAAAACAACAACAAAAATAAACAAAATTTTGATGTTATTGTTTCACAAATTCCTAAATTTAAAGGCTTGGAAGTCAGAGGGCTTTGACAGTACAATTAATCCTTAACATCGAATACCAGAATTTAAAGGGTTGATACATTTATATAATTTTAGCATTGAACTGTTTATTGTAGTACTGTATATCTTATCTTGCATCTACACTTGCAAATAAACATAAACATAAATCCTGAATCTAATAATTGGTTTACCACAGCTGCTTCCAAAGTCAAATGAATGTCACGCTCTTACTGAATAAACAGTTCAAATAGAGAACAATAAATTCCATATGAATTGATTCAAGTTCAGTCCGATTGTGAACAACGTCTGTAGTGAAAAGTAAATAATTTACCACACCAATAATTCAATAACATGTAGCGATAGAATGTCGGTTTGAAATAAAAGACGAAAAACACTTTTTTACAGGGATTCCAAACTACTATATTACCGCATTTATTACAGCCCTGGGTAACAATCCAGGGTTTCAGAACTTTTAAGGGAATTTTTGTCCATTAATCATCTATGGGATATTTATTGACTAAGTAAATAATACTATAGTTTCTGAAGGGGGTTTCTGTAATTACAGACAGGAGTACACAAGTGGAGTCTTGAACAAACACATTAATTCTTCCACCTACAGTAATAATATCAAAATAACATTATACTATATATAATTCACTTCACTTTGGATTAGGTATTAAGGTAAGAAAATAATGCATGCATTATGTAAGGGCATGGTCTATGACTATTGATAGCAGCTGACAGACACTTAGTTCACATCATTCAAAAACGACAGAGCTGAAATGAACCATAGCATTGGGAAAAACCGATACTCTTCCGAAAAATGCAATGGGTTCTTTAAACCGAGCCAGATGTATACACTGCACCTCCTATTATCCTCCTTATCCGAGAAGACTTGGTTCTACCAACCAAACCCTTCTGGAGCGAGTAGAGGCTAGAACCAGCACCTACAGTATATTAAGACTGTAGTTTGCGATGCCCCTGTCTTACCGTTTGGCACTAAACTCACAAGCAACTACAATGTTTTCTTCATACGAGTCCATTCTCAAGTCACCCAAAAGTGAAATGATTTCTTGTTGCCTTTTTAACACTGTTCTCCGTTGATTACTTCAAACTTGAGCTTGCTTTACTTATTTCATTTAATTCTCTCTGTCTCATGTGGAGTCATCGCCGCATTTTCTCGTCGTAATGCATTGTCAGTCACCCCTTTTCACCTAATTACTCATACATACTGGATGGGCTAATAAATGTGGGTGCAATATTTGTTTTCATAAAAATGTTGAACTTTAAAATTTCTATTGATTTTAAGGACTAACTAGTTTGCACAATGTTGACTCATGGTTCAAACAAATAATGCTTTAGATTACCGTTTAGTGGTTTTAGTGACGTTAACTTACAGAGCTTGATCAAGTCATGTTGATGAACGGGCCAGTAAGCAGGGGCGAATCAGGTGGATCAGAAGATTACCCCATGAAACTGAGAGTTCCACTATAAAATAGAGTGGTGTAACAATACAGTAGCCTATAGCGTTTGTTTATATTTTCATGGTATAAAGTTAGTTTTTTTTTTACGAAGTAGGTCATATTTGGTAATCCTACACCTAGTTTCACTTTTTTTAATTTTTCTGTGTAGTCATGGAATGTGGAGTCAAATTTTTCCATAATTTTTATTCAGCTACCTCCAGTAATTCAGATTTCATGATACAGAAATTACCTAAAAAATTAATAAATATAATAAAACACTTGAAAGTAGTAAGACAAGACTTGTTCATACCTTGTTTAGCAAACCCACTGGCCACCATAATGGTGATTTTGAATCAAAATTCTATTTTTGGTCAATTAGCGAACTGGTCACAACAAAAAATGGAAATAAATTAAAATCAAATTTTGAATTTTAGTACACAAACAGTAGTAACTTTCAAGTTAACATCAACATCATATTTCAAGACGTCCATCATCCAATTAAAAATACACAAGACTTCCTTAATCCATACAAAGATGGAGATACAGTTGCCTAATACCACACCATGATCCATAACATGAAAAATTATGCAAAGGTTAGGCTTCATAGAATCATGAAATAATTAACCAATTAAATATAACAAATATTGAACAATGTCAAATGTGGTCAGCAGTTTGACCTATTTTACTGCAGTGTAATTTGAAATCCTGTCACTCAATTATCGTTGACCTCTAAGATTCATTTTTACTTTAGGTCAATGATAATCATGCCATCTACCCCCTTAATTAGCATTGTGTAAAAAAAGCATCATTAAACCAGGGAACACAGTTCCCTGATTAAACATATTGTGTGTTAAAGGGTGATCTTGTGTAGGCCAACTCTTTCACACATACCTGGTATTAATCATAGTATTTCCACTCTCTGCCATAGATTAAGAATATATACAATATGGACAATTAAAATGATTATCTCCTTACTTTGGCTTAAGCAATAAATTTTGATAATTAATTAAAATATAAAATGAGAACATCTCTCTGGTTATACAGTATGAGCAGGAAGTGTGTATACTTTTCTGATCAAAAATCAATTACTGTAGGGGCCTTAAACCATTTGATTTACTGTATTCGGTGTAAACACCAAGGATATCCCACGAAAGTCTAGAAGGCTTATTTCCAGTAGGGTCCTTCTGGTGGTGATTAGGCAGTGCACCGGGAGACAATCCCCTACTCTTTACCGAAGAGTGTACTGCCTTCTTTAATGTCCACATGGGCCATGAATGCACATGGGACCAATAGCTTAAACGTGTCATCCGAAAGACGGTGCGCTATTGTAACTTGTATTTCAGCCCTCCAGCTGAAACACAAGGAGAGGCGGTGATGGGAATTGAACTGGGGACCTAGAGATCTCCACGGTTCAG